ACAGGGTGACAGCGAGCAATATGGGATATGTCCAGCAGCAGTGACCAATCATCAGCTCATGCCATGAGAGTGTAAGATCTTGGCCAGGCAGTTTCTAGATGAAATAAAAGACAAGCAAGCACACTTAATTTTTCTTCTAATCCTTTCTAGGAATTGCATTATACATTGGACTATGCTTCTTGACAAAGATGGTGAGTTATTCAAGAGGTATTTTAACAGTTCAACAATTCAAAAGAGAGGTTGCAAAATAATTAAGTTTACTTTGTATGTGTAGGCCGTTGAATCTGAAGCAAAAGCGGATCTACAACATGATTCTTAGATTTGACCAACTTATGGTGTCTCCTGATCTGATTCCGGCTTGGCACAGCAGATTGCTAGAGTTGAGGAAGAAATTATATTTTCATAAATTTGTAACCATTGGGATCAGTAGGGTGGAGATACTTTTTGTGGTAGGGCTTTTCTGGAGTAGGGAAGACTGGGTTACTTATTGAGGCTATAGCAATGATTCGAAAATTTCTGGCTCCAAGCAACAAATGGGCCTGTGGATGCTTTTTACATCAGTTTTAATGGTTTAGATGTCACACTTTTAAGCTTGCCTCGAGTGTTTGAGGGACTGTCCATTTCTGATCCATCCATTTTTCAATTGATATCCTAAACACTCACTTTGGTAGAAGTGATTGGCATTATATTTGTCTTTAGATGTTTCTTCCTCAATTTTTTTGGTTGTCTTTTTTTTTTGTCTGAAGTTTTAAACATTTTTTTCTTCAAAGGAGGGGGTTAAAAGGGATAGATGGGAATTTGGCCTCAACTATAGTGCATATAGTTTTCACCTTTTATGTTATAGTGATTTATTAACCACAAAGTGGAACTTAAACCCTTTATATACCATGTGCCACATGCCATATATCTAAGGATAATAGAGTGAAACTTGAGTTTTAAGGTTTTAAACCACTGAATGATGATATAGAAAGAGCAATAAAACTGAAGCACAGAGCAACTCCCGAATATATTAAAGAATGAAAGGACAAGAGCACGAAGCAATTTAGAATAGTCCCAAAACTTATAGCATTCTAATGCTAGGACTAACACATAAAATAAAGCCACATAAAGTTTAATGCTGTGGGTTAATGCTGGCTTAATGTGAGGATATATTAACTAAATTTTGTGGAATTTAGGCTTAAACCCAAACCAGACACAGAATAAACATAAGTACATAAATGGGAACTAAACTATACCTTAAGTTAATTAGCCATACCTTACCCATTATCCTTATTATATATTTAAAACCCTTCACATCCCCTTTATTATCTTTATCCAACATTGCACATAGGAAGTTAAGTTTACTTCATTTGTTTTTCACATCCTCTTTATCCCTTTTTTGAATTCTGAAGCATTAAGTCTATTCAAACTTGTTATACTTGTCTTCACTCTATTACCTATGTTCAAAGTTCAAAATTATGACTTTAAAGTTCATTTGAGCATTTAACAATTGCACACAATAGTTCATTGGGATTTAATAGTGAGCTAATGTGTGTGCTATAGCTTTGAGTTTTATTTTAATCATGGTTATAAATAACTATGTTAGTAGTTTTGTGAGAACTTTAACTTATTATAGTAATTTATAATGACCCAACAAAAGCTCCAAAGAGTTCCACCTTTATCATCATCACCTTTTCATTTTCCAAGAGGGGATTCTGTAAATATATGTATATATATAGTTATATTTACTCATCTACTAACTAGTAAGTAGGGTCTAAACCCCAATTAATATATTTATTCTAAGCACTCACAAATAGAATTATTATACTTATATAAATTTTAATTTATAATATGATTCATTAATTATGCAAATTAACATATTTTTGTTCAATATATCATTGATAAGAAAATAGTAAATAGAGAATATCCAGGTATAGTCAATCGAGAGTTGGAAATCCATCCGTAGGCCCTGAGGGCTTCCTGCTACATCCTTCTCGATGTGGTGGAACTCAACCTCACTGATATTGTGGTGGCAGACTTGAGGTTCTTGACTGACAGCATGCCTCAGCAGCACGGCCTGTGGTACTTCTGCACCCCCGTCAGCTCGATGTTTAGCCTGGTCACGTAAGCTGCCACGATCTCGTGGATCCACCGCCCGACCTGACGCTAGATCGAGTTGAGCTTGTCCGAGACGTTGAGCCTGTCCTGCATGTAAGTCTGGAGATCCGATTCCGCGAAGTAGATCTCGGCGTTGTGAGGCTCCGTCGCCAGAGCCTTCCACCTTTGCCTTGTCGCAGAGAGTCGATTGAGTCTGGCACGCCGCCAGGAGCGTCGTCGCCTGGCTCGAAAGGCAAGCTGTCGATGGGCTCCTCGGCCCGGCCGAGCAGCCCCTTCCGGCACAGGATCCGCCAGGCAGTCGTAGTGAGCCAGCGCCGGGCTCACGCCATGATAGATGTTGGCGAAGTTGAAGACCCGCAGCGTCTCAGGTGGATGACGCTTGATCACTTCCATCGTTATCATCCAGTTCTCGCTGAGAGGAGAGCCCGCCACCGTCTTAACAAGTTTGCGGCGTTTGAGAGGCGGATGGTCACAGTAATGATCCGCCGCCGCTGGTGTCTTCCTCTTGTTTCCAGGCAGCGGGTAGAATAGCCCTGTCAAGGAAAAGAGTTGGCCGATTCCACAGAAATCACGAAAAAACTTACTGTCAGGGAGAGTAAGTTTGCGGTGATTGAGAGGCGGCTGATCACAGTAATGATCCACCGGTGCCATCCTACCACGACCATCAATCTCGGAGTAGAATAGCCCTGTTTACAAGGAAAAGAGTCGGCCGATCCCATAGAAATCACGAAACAATCTTACTGTCAGGGAGAGTAAGTTTGCGGCAATCAAGAGGCGGATGATCACAGTCATGATCCACTGCCGCCGGTGCCTTCCTCTTATTTCCAAGCAGCTCTGCCGCACCACGATCATCAAACCCCCCAGTTTAGTGAGCCGACCACACAGAAATCACGAAATAAGCTTACTGTTAGGGAGAGTAAGTTTGCCGCGATCGAGAGGCGGATGATCACAGACCGCCGGCGGTGCCTTCCTCTTGTTTCCAATCACTGTGTTATGATCATCGAGCTCCGGGTATAACAACCCTGCTTACAAAAAAAAGCGTTAGCGGAAAACAAGCGACAAGACCTTGGAAACCTTGACCCAGCTCGGGCTTCCGGGCGAACTCCTGTAGCTCCACCACCTTTTCATCGTCAGAGCGTAGGATTTGCTGCTGCTTGGGCGGTTCGACGCTGCAAAGCTGTTCGGGGGATGAATCGTGCTGTACCAAAGAGAGCATCAACAAAAAAGGAAAAAAGAAGGGGAAAATGAGAGAGGAAAAGGAGAAACGCTAGCCATACCACTTCCTGTGCAGCTTCGATTTCCTGAGCCTACAAGCAGGAATGAGAAATTGAGAAGAAGCCCCAAAACTCACCTCAATCAGAGCATCTAAATCACTCGGGAGCTCATCCTTGACATTCCATTCACTGCATACAAAGTTAAAAGCAAGCACGATTTCCGCTATCTGTAATAGCTCAAACAACATCTTGGAAAGAAAGAGAGAGAGCGCTCGCTAGAAACAAGCAAATACCCAAATCTTAACCTAGTTAAGCAAATGGCTTGTAAGGTTTAGGTAACCCTTGACGGTACCTTTTAATTTTCAACCAAAGTATAATTAACACGAGTAACTGAGAGTAAAGGTCTTGGATTTACCGCTCTGCTAGTAGTATGCATGACGAATCTTTCCATGGCTGGAGCATTCTTCCACAAGTAGTAGGACCAGTCCACCATTGCATTGAAATAGTACTTTCTGCACCACCTTAAAATGTTGAGATTTGATGACTACATTGTCACAGCCGTTTCAACACTTAATTCCAAGTTGTTTGATGTCCCCAATTGCCTCGGGAGCTGTAAAAGAAATCGCTCTAGCACTCTCATGTTGACATGCCCATCGCAAATTATAAACTCCCCCACCTCACTAAAAACCTCCATATATGTTTGCTGAAGCTTGTCAATGCCATGGTTTTGGAGGGCAGGAAATCATTCCCCAGAAGGAAGCACAAGAACACGAGATCCCTCACGGTGGACCACAGCCACATGGAGCATGGCTTTTCCATCTGCATCTCAAAATCATGCATGAGCGTCTCGATGCTGATGAGCTCGTAAATCATCACTCCATCCTTTGGCGTTTGGCAGAGGATGTTGATCTTCCTGGAGAGCAGGCTAGCGAGAGCCAGCATGATCAAGTTGGTGTCGCATCCAACCATGCAGTGGAAGTCATGGGCGTTGAACAGCAGAGTTCATATGTGGTTGAAGATGTTGAGCTTGCCCTCCCTGTCCTCCTCCAATGTGGAAATGATCCACTCGAGCCTCGAGCAAGTGATTGATGTCCTCCGGTGATGATCATATGAACTTGACAGCATGCTTGCCACAAATTGTCACAATTCACTCTCCAACCCATTCATGAAAGGTGTTCCATCGTGGAGCATTGCCATCTTGGCTTTGCAATTGCTTAGGATGAGATCATTTGTCTGATCTTTAGTGGAATTCTTAGATGCAAAAATACATTCTCACGTCCTTTTTGAATGGATCAAAACATCATTAATAAAGTTAATAATCACCTCAAATTCATCTTCTAAGGGGGACAAGGAAGATAAACTTAATTGGAGCCACCATGGTGATGAACTTGCAGAACTCTTAATAAAAGGTGGTGAAGGTGGCAGGGCAATTGTCACTCTCCAGGATGACTCAGATGATGGCGTTGAGGTCAACATACAAGTTGGCAGTATCATAGAGAAGAAGATTGTTCTTGGCACATCACATCTCTCGTGCAACAAGGATGCTTGGATACAAGCCAGGCGAAAAACCCAAAAACTCCCATGATCGATTGCTTGATCCCTTTTGGAAAGTGATACACCCTCACAATCATTTTCGCTGTTATATAGTCGTGAGGATTAAATGTGGTTAGATAAATACGTTTAGCTAGTAAAGTTAATTAAATATATTACTTATCTGCGGTTTTGAGCATATACCTTTGTCACCCCCAAAATCTTCCAAGCCGAGAGACTAGTTGCGCTCGTCAATGGGCAGTGAATCTGGAGTTACTCCCTTAATAGTTTCCATTACGGCTTTCTCAGTGGCAGGCTTGGCTGAGAAGAAAATACACAAAGAGTGAGCTTATCCCGTTTAGAGCTCAAAACATACCCAAGGCGTATACAAGGATGGACCATTTCAATCCTGGTTCCAGCAACGCCGGCATTCGTATTTCAGGGTGGCCGTATGTGATCTGCAGTGAGAATGGTTATAGATCAAGAACTATAGAAGTTTTCTGTTTTCCTACCAGCATAAACACTCCTTGTGGTTTCAAAATCCTGCAAGAGAGAGAGTATGAACTTAATCAGTAGTAGTACACACAGAACCTGTAAGTCTCTCTTCGCATTTGTAGAACGCCTTCGGCCGGATCAACTCCACACTGAAAGAAGGAACGCAAATTGCATTAGACAAGGATATTTTTGGTGACACAAACACGTTCTAGCATGGCGCCGGCCAGGCCTGAAAAACAAAGAGAAAAAAATGTAAGAGGAGACTCTGGAGAGTAAACTATAACTTTGTTACCTTTGTCAATGACCGCATCAAAGGAACAGTCTTGAAACGCACTCATGTCCCGTGAATCTATTGCCACATCTTAAGTTTCGTCAAGGAAGATATGGCTGCTGCAAAGAAGTAACATCACCAAGCCCAAGGATACAAGAGAGCTGAGGAACGTGAGCATATCTAGCTTTGAAGTTGTCAATCACCATCGAAGATAGATCAGTGTTGACGATTTCCCGGTAGCCATCTTCCACCATATCGTTGACATTGCTGTTTTACATCACTGGAATTAGTATTCTTTTCTATGGCATCGCTCATTGAGATCTTGGTACCTGAATTGCCACACCCAGCCATCAAAACCCGGGAAGATTCGGGGATGTGCTTACGGACAATCGTCTCGAATCTGGAGTAATCCGAGAACCAAAGCATCGGGTTGCTCAGCGTAGCGCTTGTCCCAGTAGGATATCTCGCCATAGCCACCGGGCTTGGGTGCTGAAGGAGCAAGGAAGAAGGCGGGGTAGCTACAAGCTCCAAATATTTCGAGAATTTCTTACCAGGGAATTTCACCGCTGAGAATGGAGGAACCGAGGAGCTGATCTTCGCAAAGCACCGGATGATTCGCGATCGCGCCCTCGCCTCGATGCTGCCGCAGTAGCACGCGCAAGCAATGCGCGCCGAGAGCATTTGGCTTAAACCCTAGATAAACCCTTTGATATACAATTAGAGTGGTTCCGATCGAGTGATGGGATTGTTCCAGCTGAATCCGTGTAGCAAGGAGGAAGAAGAGGGAGCGCATGGCAAGGCCATAGCCGGCGCACAGCCTCCTCCCGACGGAGAATGGGATGATCTGGACGTGCTGCCCCGGGCGAGATAGGAATCGCTCGGGCTGGAATTCGTTGACGAGGAGTTTGCATTCGCGGGGATTATGGTGCCATGGCCATCGCCGAGCTCCACGGGGCGGAGGCGCCCCAGCGGCAACGCCGGGTGGAGGCGGAGGGCCTCCTTGAGGATCGCCTGGATGAATGGGAGATTTGGGAGGTCGGATTCTTCCACCCCTCCCGATGATTTGATCCAGTTCTTCTTGGGCGTTGCGCATGACCTCGTGTTTGCTGATCACTTCGGACATGTACCACTCGATCGTGGAGGTTTGAATCCGGCACCCACCATATCCTGGAAGAACGATGAATCGTCACATCGCAGAGAAGAGGATCCAGAAGGATGGTGATCACTTACGCACAATGATCTCTTGGTCCGAGAGCTTGTCACTGTCGTCCAGGGAGATGAGACCGTCCACAAAGTCGCGGCAGACAAACCCATCGCCCCGCCTTCTTGCGCTCCCGGTGCTCCCGGACTTGATCGTCGAGCAGCGCCTTGATCCGGGGCATGATCTCGCCCCTCATCTTGGCGTAGACGCCGTGGAGATCCATCTAATCGAGCGACGGGATGATGTTGAGGTCTGCCCGGCCATGTTATTGATCGTCTCTACCACCTCGGGACACTCCTCGCTGAAGAGCGTAAGGCACAGCGACCCGACGCGTGTCTGGCGAAGAGGGTCGGCTCGCTGCGCCGCGATCGATCGAGGATGCTGTCCATGGCGGCAGGGGGCACTGGTGGTGACCATGGCGTTGCTGAAGAGGTTCGTGGCGCAGATCTTGCGCATGAGCTTCCCCGGTGAGCGGAAGGCCAGGTCGCTCCAGCCGAAGCTGAAGATCCGGAAGAACTCCTCCGACTGGGACTCGGCTGATTGGAGGCAGTATTTTAATGCAAACTTGTTTAACATCGTCTGTACTTTATGGTGAGCCATTCGGTATGCTACCAAGTGATATCCAGGCGGAGATTAGATGATAAAGTGTCATGTCTCATGATCACGTTAGGAAAGGGCTTGGGATAGCAAATGGGAAAATGTTGCCTCTTTATTTGTTATTGGATGAGTCTCAAATGCTTGTGCAGGAGGTTATTGCCAAAGGCAGTGATCTTCAGGGGCATGTGTAATTGGGTAGGCACTATCATGACTAAACAGTCCTCCCAATTGCTGGGAAATATATGCCAGGGTGGATGGACATCAAAATCACACTAGAGCCTATGGCTTCTGCAATTCAGGTATTAAGTCTCTCTGTCAAAGACTCCAGGTTTGCATCCATCGAGCCTCAGATAAGGGTACTTTTAGAATACTGTTCCTGCATGCAAAACTGCAAGTCGTGGTGAATAGGATCCTATTGGAGGGGAACAGAGACATGGTGAAGCATATGTTGCAACTTTGTTTGACAGGTGTGAAGCTTAAGGCTGCTTCATCATTGGAGATCCAAGAATGTTTAAAAGGGTACGTATATATGCAGGGAACTCCAGCAGGAATCAGGTATAAAAGTCCAACACTGTTGCTATATGTTCTTTGCAGCTTGGTATTCTTAAGCCAGAGCCCCTAAGAGGGGATTACCTTGAGTACGAGTTTTTTTATGTTCTGATGAGAGTCTATGAGGGCACTATATACTTTGATTGCAGGACATGGCGCTCGAGGAGCTTTTTGATCTTTCCTGGGGCAATAGGGGATAATAGCCTTCTTCAGATGGAGGTTGAAGTTAAGGGGGTAGTGATCATCTCATTGATCACATGTATCGATTCTATAATCTCTTCCATGTTCAAGGTATGTTTGAGTGAGACTTAGAGATGTACAAATTCTATAGTACTAATGTATGGATTTCTTTTCTTTCTGGATGACATTTATATTACAAGAAATGATGATGGATGCCATTATTCATTGTAGTGTAAGGACAAGAGTTTTGCTACTGATGCTAGGTTCTTTTCAAAAAGCTAAACCAGCAAGAACCTGTAAGAGATTTGGCTAGAACTAAAAAGAAAGAAAACCCAGATCAGTGTGCAAGAAGGAAAAGAATAATTACTGTTGCCTTTGATCCCAAGTTTATTATCGAAGGTAAGACAAAGATATTTGGTCTTTGGAATGGATGCTGGAGAATGGTTTACTTCTAAGCTTTCATAGATTTATGCCTAAGCATATGCAATAAGAATTTCTTGGGTTGTAAAAATAATAAATCTAATTCAAACAAATAGATATGATTCAAAGTTTAGAAAAGTCATATATAAACTTCAATCTCTGTTCTGGGCCATAACTAAAAGGCTATGTTTTTGGTTGTCAAGAGGATCATCAGCTAAATTGGTTTGAACGATCTGATATTAAGAATTACAAAGATATTTTGTTACAGAGTCAAACCGTGATGCGTCAAGATATGGAAGCCCCAAAAAGGTGATATACAGATTCACAAAGAAGATTCCCGCAGATTCCGTTTTGAAATCCTAACAGTTGAAAAATACAGCAATATAATTTGGAAATCCCACTCCTCGTGTTTAGATCGAATTGGGCTCCACGGCTCCAGCTCCCACCTTGCATTCCCATCCTCCTCGTCTATGCTCCTCTGCGTTTCTTTTCCACTCGCACATAGGAAATCGCGGCCAGCCGAGAGAAAGGAGGGGTGGCTTCAAATTCGGGGAGTTCGGCGGGAGAGAACGTTGCGTCAGACGCCGGCCAGCAGACCACCGATGCTCCCAATAGTGGCGACGATGGGCGGAGTACGCCGGCACACACTCAAACATGGACAAGTGAGATGGTACTCCATCAAACAGCGTTTTTTTCTAACGAAACCATCCCTCCTTCCACCATATGACAGAACACTCTCTCTAAGTTTTATTCTTCTTCTTCTTCAAGAGGAACTCTTCTCTGCGGCTTTGGCCGCGACAGCAGCTGTTCTTGGGGGATTTGCTCCTCGCATCATGGCTACAAATTCATCGTAGTCGATCTTCCCGTCCTGTGGTGCTGTAAATTAGTTTCCCTCAATCCTGCGGATGACTTACATTGTCTGTGTCCACTTCTTTGATGATTTCTGTCAAGTCTTGCATGTTTAGATCGCCGAGAGCTTGCTCCAGTTCTTCCACAGTGATGTACCTGATTGATACTTGAAGTCTAGAAAAAAACAAAGAAGCTTGAGATTTTACCCGCTGTTATCCTTGTCGAAGAACTGGAAAGCAGAGTATAGGTGATCCTCCTTCTCCGTTTTGTTGAGATGCATGGTCGCGGTGATAAACTCCGTGTAATCGATCGAGCCATTTCCATCAACGTCAGCCTGGAACACAAAAAAAGAAAAAGAAGAACGAACTAAAACGCGTAGAAAAGAAGCACACTTACTGCTCGCATGAGCTGCTGGACTTCGTGTTCCGCGAGAGCGGATCCCAAGTTTGCGAGTCCAGCTTTTAACTCGTCGTAAGTGATCGTCCCACTGTTATCTGTGTCAATGCTCTTAAACATCTCTTTGAGTCCCATGATCTCTTCCTCGGATAGACTCTCGGCAATCACCTGGGTAGATCAAATCTAATTCTCCAAAAACAAATACCAGGAAAGAACCTTAAGTGCAAGCTTTTTGAGCTTGTTCATGGCAGAAAACTGCTTCATTCGCGAGAGCACTGCGTTGTCCAGCGGCACGTCCGGCGCTTCGCCATCTTCTTTGAGCCAAGGATGGTCTAGAAATGACAAAGCCTGTGCTTAATATCTCCACAAACATCTTACCAAGAATGCAATGTACTTAGAACTTCCAGTGGTGTCATCCTCTCCTTGGGGTCTTGCTTGAGCATCTTGCGCAGCAAATCCTTGGCACCGTCGGAGATTGATGGCCAAGGGTCGCTGGAAAGATCGAGGTGGCCGCGAAGAACTTCATCGAAAATCCCTTGCTCCGTTTCTACAGATCAAATGAATGGGGTCTCCCCTGTTCAATAAGATGATCTTCCTCTTACCAGCCCAGAAAGGTGGAACTCCGCTGAGAAGAATGTATAGGATTACTCCAGCACTCCAAATATCGGCCTCAGGTCCATAGTTGCGTCTAAGAACTTCGGGGGCAACGTAGAACGCGCTGCCAACAAGATCTTTGAAGGTCTCACCTGGAAGAAAAGAAAAGAGAAAGTGCCAATTATCATACTAGAACGAATGCGTTTTTTGCTTGAAGAAAAGAAAAAACGAGAAGAAGATTTCCACGTAGAAATGATCAAGCTGGAGAAAGGAAAACGAGAAGAAGATTTGCAGGATTTACGTAAAGACAGGAAGAGCGGGCTCGGAGCGTAGAAAAACGTACGAAGAGAGTAGACGAAAGCATAACCGGCGATCGATCGATCAAAGTTTGCGAAGAGAAAAACATGATTCCAGGGAGAAAAAGACAAAGTGATCGAGAGAAGAAGATATCCAGATTTACGTAAGAGAGTAGGCAGTGATCGAGAGATAAGATCTCCAGATTTACGTAAGAGAGTAGGCAGTGATCGATCGAAGACCCAACCAAAAAAAAAAAAAAGAAATAGCAACTATTCTTTCTAGCAAGCTCGAGGAAAGAATGCGATGGTGGAGGAACAACTTACCGGGCTTGAAGAACACGGAGAGGCCAAAATCGGTGGCCTTGAGCGGCGAATCCTCGTCGGCGCTGGCGAACAAGAAATTCTCGGGCTTGAGATCCCGATGCATCACCCCGAGCGAGTGGCACGTCTGGAGCACAAGCACCATGGTCCGGCACAGCGTCGCCGCCGCCCTCTCGCTGTAGTGCCCGCGCTGGACGATCCGATCGAAGAGCTCGCCGCCCTCGCACAGCTCCATGATGAGATGGACGCTCCCCTTGTCCTCGAACACCTCGCGGAGCGCCACGATGTGGGCGTGGCCACAGAGATGGTGCATGATCTGGACCTCGCGCCGGACGTCCTCGGCATCGCTGCGATCCAGGAGCTTGCGCTTGGCGATGGACTTGCAGGCCAGGCGCTCGCCGGTGGATCTGCGCGAGCACAGGCGCGTGACGCCGAATTGGCCGGCGCCCAGCTCGCGGGCGAGGGCGAATTCCTGGCGGAGATCCGAGAAGGGGCGGCCCAGGACGTTGCCCGCCTTGAATGCCGCGGAGCCCCGGAGGGGTGTCGAGGATCCGGCTATGGCGGACTTGGTGTTCCTCATCTTGGAGGGAGAGGAATCCTCTTTTCTTTCTTCTTCCTCTCTTGGGCGGTCTTGATTTTGCGGCCACTCTTGCTGGCCACCACTGGAGGGATCATTTCTTCCCTGTTTGTTCCCCATTTTCTTTTTTGATGATCAAGTACACCACTATGGTTTGACGATATGCTCCGAAAGAAATCGATTTTCCTGAGCTTTTGGAGACATTTTAGATCGCAACAATGGCACTCTCGACTCGCGCGAATCGCGCGGTGAATTGATTTCGAGGGCCGGGCTGGATCCTTTAGGAGATTCACAGTCTAAAAGATGCTATAGCATATGCTTAGACGTCAAATAAATCTGAACCGTAGAATGTTGGACGGTTGAGATGTTCTATGAATGTCTTCTTCCTTTAGCGAATATGCCACGGGATTGTCTTTGTTGGAAGACCTAAAATGCGGGTGGCCTGGAAGCGTCCCCTGAGGAATGGCGGCCTCCCTAGGTTCTTCAGCTCCTCTTCTTCTGGTGCGTTAATTGTGTAGATTCATTTGTTAGCTCAGCTGATATTGATTGGATCCAGGGCCACGCGCGCGCTACGAGGAGATGGTCGCGCTGGGGATCCTCAAGCACGACGAGCAGCAGCACAGGGTTGCGTCGATGCTGGAGTTGCTGCTGGAGAATTTGAAGATCCACCAGAAGAACATGGAGCTCTACAATGTAAGTTATGTGATGTTTAAGGCTTTTTTCTTCTCTCTTTTCGTCTCTAAATATCAGCAGACTTTTAGATTGAGCTCCAGAGCTGGAAGAGAACGAGACATGAATTACGGGAGCAAATGCTGGAGGAGGAAGCCGAGGCAGAAGAAGCCAGGAAAAATGTGCAAGCGAAAAGAAACTGGAGAGAATCCATAGCGAAGATGTTCACGAGGTATGGAAAAACAAGTTGTTTTGTTTCTTTCTGATGAAATTTTTCATTTCAGGCAAGGAACATTACGGCAAGTTGAACCGGGAGCTGGAAAGATGGTGGCTCGAATAAAACGAGAGAAAAATCTCGACAACTTAATAGGACGTCGCCCTCTTCCTCCAGAATCTCCCAAAGGAATTTATCTTCACGGAAATGTTGGCTGTGGTAAGCTATTTCGCTACAATGTTTTTTGTTTTTTAAAAGTCAAGCGTTTGCTTGCAGGAAAAACGTTACTTATGGATTTGCTATTCAATTCCTCAGAAGGTGTTGTGAAGTACCGTCGAAGAATGCATTTTCATGCTGTTAGTAGATCCTCTCGCTACTTAATACGCTGCTCACTTTCTTGTTTTCTTTCTCAGGCAATGCTGGAAGTTCACGATCGCATGCAGAAGATATGGAAAGAATGGCGTTCATCAGAAAAACCGGGTGACGAAGAGGAGGAAGGAGAATTGGAACCGCGAACCGATTCTGTCAGTCCAATCTTTGATGCTATTGCTGACGAACTCTTAAAAAATGCCAGCGATGAAGATGAGTTTGAAGGCGCAAGCTTGTTATGTTTCGACGAGGTCCAGGTATTATTTTGGTTTCAGCACCGCTTGTTCTGATTTACTTTCACAGGTGGTTGATCCGTTTACCGCGGTGGCACTAGCCGGAATTTTTGGTAGGCTTCTTAACAGAGGTCTTGTTCTTGTTGCTACAAGCAATCGTCCTTTCACTGATTTGAACAAGGTCCACAATTCATTACAGTTTTACGGTGTCCGACTTACAACTCTTATTTCTCTCTTGCCAGGACGGGCTTCAGAAGGAGGTGTTTCTGAAGTTTCTGGAACGCTTGGAAAAACATGTGTGTCCCGTTTCTGTTGACAACAAAGTGGACTACAGACGAGTGATAGCAGACTCGTATAACAAGGTGCGTTTCTCTTGGAGTCTTTTATTTCACTTACAGATTTCTTTCCAGGACGAGCAAAAGCACTACTTTTGGCCTTTAAACAGTCAAACTGATGAAAAGTTGAGAGTGGAATGGAAGAATGCGATCAGTTCTTTAGAAAAAAACGGCCTGACCGTTTCATCAAGTCGTGTGCCGGTTATGTTTGGCAGGTACTTACCATCTTTTGTGTCCAAGGATTTGGTAAAATTCTTTTCGTGATTGCTGCAGAGCTCTCGAAATCCCAGAGTCCTGCGACGGCGTTGCAAAGTTTACTTTCGAGCAACTCTGTGATTACCCTGTAAGTTTCTGTTTCCAAAACTCTTTACTCTTCTGAGAAAACGCACAGCTTGGAGCAGCGGATTACATGGCTCTCGCGCAAAGATATCACACTGTTTTCATCACTAATATCCCTGTCATGAGCATGAAGATTCGAGACAAGGTAAATATAGTTTAGTCTCTGATACGATTTATAACTGACTGTTTCGCTAGGCTAGAAGATTCATCACCCTGGTGGATGAACTATATAATCATCAGTGTCAACTCATTTGCACAGCAGCAGCTCCTCCAGACGAACTTTTCCTTGGAACAGATGAAGGCCCCTTGATCGATCTAGAAGGGTGAGTGCTATCTTCACCAATTCTCTGGTCACAGCTTTTTATGTTTCCATCCAGGCTACAGTTTGAGACCGAAGCTGAAGGAACGAGGCTTCGAAGAAATGTCCTTGTATCGGGGAACGTCGCCCCAGTCACAGATCACAGCAAAGTGCAGCTACTCCTGTCTGGCTACGAGGAAATGTTTGCATTTCGTCGTGCGGTATGTCTTTCCTGATCCTTTACCTCCCAACTTCTGGCTTGATCACACCGAGCTTTGATATTCGCAGGCCTCGAGGCTTATAGAAATGCAAACCCCTGCCTACACTCTCGAACGCTCGTTAATGGGCCTTTCTCAAACTTCGAAAGGTACATAATAAAGGTTAAGGCTCTTAAGCTAATCAGTTGTTATCTTTAAAACCTGAGGTCGAGAGTTCAAGCCTCTCTCACGCAAAATTTTGGCGTTGGGTTTTAAATTTTGCATTTTGGCGCCAAACACGTTTTAGGGTTCTTGTGTTAGGGCTTTGGCGATGGAGAATGTGGGGGAGTGCCCGGATCTGGTATGCGCGATACTTCGCAGGCTGGATCGGCGCCGCGATCTCGCCCGCTGCAGTAGGGTGTCCAGGCTGTGGCGCCGATGCTGCGCCGACGCAAGGGGCTCGGTAGCGCCCGCCGCGACTCACTTGGTCGGGACAGACAGGGATTTCGATCTCTGGACGCTCGACACCGCCACAGGCGAGCTATGCTTCTCTTCATTCGGCACCTACTCGGGACGGATCCTTGACTCCGGAATGGATGGATCCAGGATCCTGTGCGCTTGCGAGGGCCTCGTCGTTGTTCTCTTCGACGTGTGGTTGCTCGCAATTGGCGAGCCGATCTTGGGCAAATGGCGACGTCTTTGGAATGCGGAATTTCCTCGCGGTGTCGTCGCCGGTGCCTTGTTCCCGGATCCCGATCGCACAGGAGGGGAGATTGCCCTCGCCATCCTGCAGTACAACGGGAGGGTCGATCGATACAAGTTCGAGGAGGGGCGCTGGGAGCAGCAAAATGCCCCCTTCTGGGGCTGGTACGCAGATTCCTCGACGTGTTCGCAGCTCTTCTATCACCAGGGTGGCTTGTTCTGCGTCTTCCAGAAATGCCGTGGGCCGTTCCGCCGTTGGCCGCCCCGCCGTCTCCCGCTCCAGAATGGGATCTTTCGCTACAACTTGGGCGAGAGGAAGTGGTCGCAGCTCCGATTTGGCAGCGATCAGGAGGAAGGAGATCTCCGCTGGCCCGATGAGCTGCACTTCTTCCATTGGAATGGCAGGCTCATGCTTTGCTTGTCACACTCTCAGCAAGCCCGCGTTAAGTTTTGCGAGTGTGTCACGGATGGTAGCACCGATGGCGATGGTGGTGGTATTCACGGCAGGCTGGTGGAAGTGCCATCCTTTCTGGGGGCCGGGGTCGATGAGTTCTACCGTGAGTTTGTGGGGAACGAGAACGAGCTGTTTGTGTTCCGGGGCGACCACGCAGTGAGGCTTTCAGGGAAGGACACGTCCAAGACCAGTTTCAAGGTTCCTCGAGCGATGATGTCGAGCGTTTCCTGTTACACACCCGATGAAGGAGAAGCAATCGGACGCGTTGCCACGAGAGAGAATTCGTCAGACACCGCGGGTACCAGCGCCACATCTCACGCCAAGCCGAAGGTGGTTCCAGCTCGGCCTTGGATTGTTGTTGCTCCAGAAAAGAAATAGTTGCTCTTGACATTCTCTCAACCCAAGCGGAAGAAGGTCCCAGCACGACCCTGACTTAAAATAATGTTCTTGTTCTTGTTATGTTCTTGTTCTTGTTAATAATGTTCTTGTTATGTTCTTGTTAATAATGTTCTTGTTCTTGTTGTTGTTATTCTTGTGCAATATAAGCTACGTCAAGCCTCATATTGCTTCCTCGTTTTGTAGGATAGTACGTGAGCTTGCTGGATTGGCTCAAGTAGCGAGTAAACACTTTCCTTCCTATGTCTGGTAAACATCTCCTGCTCGAAAGCCAGGCCACAGAGCTTCCGAACCATTGGACGGTATTCAGAGACCTCCTCAAGATGCAGGACATCAGATAGATAATTCAACACAAAAACACACACGCACCTAGAGTATGAAACAGCGAGCTTGGCGTAGAAATCAGAGTCTTCTCTGCCAAGTTGAGGAGCTCTGGAACTCCAGGAAATACGTCAACAAAGGTGCCAGAGGCGGGGTGCACAGGCATGCGTCTGCAGGCCTGAAGTTGGAAACTTGTGGATGGTCTCGCTGCTGCATCATTCTGGAAATCGCATTATCAAAGCTCGTGGGAGGACAAATGAGAACCCTAATTGTGGGTGAGATTTTAGGGTTAGCATGCTTTTTGGGTATGATATACTGGTACGCATCTTGCTGTCGCTCGGCTGGGAATCACTGCTGCAAGCCCGCGGCGTGTGCAAGGAGTGGAGATCCATCATCAAATCCCCCGAGTTTAGGGCGCTGTGGCGGCCGCGTTCGAGCGACGAAGACTGTGTCCTCCTCACGGCTTACACCTCCCACTGGCAGCATCACCCTCGACCACTCCACGTCTGCGCCTGGAGCCCAGTCGCGCGTCGTCTCTCCGCTCCCGGCGTGGATGAAGCTCCCGCTCCCGCCCGGCTCCTTCTTCGACATCGTCGCCTCCTCCGCGGGCCTGGTGCTCATCCGCCAGCCGTCTTGGCCCGACCGTGAGACGCCCGGGGTGGAGTTCACGGTGGGCAATCCGGCAACCAACGAGTGGGTCAGGATCCCACGCCTGGATCCGCAGCAAGCCGGTCGAATCTACAGCATGAGTGCCGACCCGGCGACTGGGGAGTTCAAGCTGCTGGACAACCATAACTGGCGTGTCTATGAATCAAGTTCACGGGCCTGGGGGCCGACCCTGAGGATGCCTGACATCTCCGAGACTGGCGAACTCAACGATAACACAGATACGCTGGGGTGTCTCCCTTTCGTGTGGGAGCACAAGGGAGTGCGCTACCGGGCGTGCGCAATCGCTGATACCTACGGCAAAGTCACGTACAAGGTGTGGGTGTGGAGCGGCCAGTGGCGAGGTGTTGCGAGCGATGTCTTGGACCTCTACTTCGACACCATGGATGGCGCTGGTCAGTGGCTTGGGGTTGGGAGCATGGGCTTGGACAAGACGGGTATCTACACTGACTGGTCCATGGCGCTCGAGTGCCAGGCCGAGGGCAATCTCGTGTGCCTGGCCGGCCAGTGCCGCCATTGCTACGACGACGGTGAGAAGTGGGCTGACGAAGGTGGCGAGCCTCTGCCACCCGTGGTCTACGACTTGGATCGCGACGAGTGGATGTACGTCCGTGCCAAGAGCGGCGAGGGTGTGCAGTACCGGCGGGCGGTGGTTTACCGCCCCTCGCTTGTCAAGCCCTCTGGCGTGGAAGGAGCTGTGGCGCTTGATCCCGAGGGTGGCGAGGGGCACAAGCGCAAGAGGGAGCAGCAGCCGCTAGACACGGTTGCCAGGATCCGGCAACACAGGATGAGAGCATTCGGAATAGAGGCTGAGGTGTATGAGGACATCTTTTTCATGACGTGAATTCTCTTTAAAAGTCGTAAAATAAATAAAAATGTAGAAGTCCGAACTGCCATCTAAATCGAAGTAGGCGAAACCTCATATTGTTCTACAGAGGGATTGTATGATGTGAGCAATGATCTCTGGATTGACAATTTTTAATCTTCTATGCGACTTGCGAGCTCCAGAGTTCTGATGGTCAATTCCTCAGTCGAGTAGACTTGAAAATTTACTCAGGGAACAAAGTATAAAACCGTAGTTAAAAGAAAAAAAAAAAAACCGATCATCTCTTCTCTTTGTTTGTCTTAAAGCATCCAACACTTCAAATCTCAGCCGTAAATTCTTACAGTCTTCTCAGATCGCTTAGCAAACCACCATAAAATTCTAGATCAAAATCCGGGGTTTAAAAGCGAGAGCTGGTTTGCCCTAAATTCTCGTTGCCAAGGAGGGCATGGTTCCCATGGCGGCGGGCAAGCGCTCGTATGGCCATATGCTCATGAACGATCCAGGTACTTATCCCTCCTCCGATACCAGCAAGCGCCACCAGTCCTCGTTCCGGCGATCCGACAGCTCGCGCGGCGCGGCAATCCCCGCCTCGCAGCAGCAATTGATCCAGCAGCAGCAGGAGGAGCTCTTCCGGATCCTCTGCCCGGCGTCGCGGATCGGCAGCGTGATTGGCAAGGGCGGCAGCATTATCAAGACGCTGCGGCAGCAGACCGGGGCGAAGATCAAGATCGCGGACGCAATCCCTGGCTCGGATGAGCGAGTGATTATAATTGGGGCCTTTGACGCCGAAGGGGGCGGGGACGAAGACTATCCCGCTGGTAGCGGTGGTGGCTCCGCCGCGGCTCTTGACAAGGATGATCGAGCAATGGACGAGTACACGAATGGGAGGGATGTGGCGTGTCCGGCCCAGCTAGCGCTCTTCAAAGTCCACTCGCGGATCCTCGACGCCGACAAGTATGAGGACGATCTGGACGACTCGGATAGCGTGGAGGAGGATCTCTCGGAGAAAGTTGTGACGAGAATGCTTGTTCCCGAGAACCAAGTTGGCTGCTTGCTTGGGAAGAAGGGGAGGATCATCGAGCAGATGCGTGAGGAGACGGGGTCGCAGATCCGGATACTTCCCAGAGAGCAGCTGCCGGTGTGTGCATTGCCGACTGACGAAGTTGTCCAGGTATCTAGCGTGTTTCTTCCTCTTTCTTTCTTCTTCTTCTCATTCTTTTTCCTTTTCTGGACAGGTTGTAGGGGATCGTCCTTCCGTGAAGAGAGCTCTAAACGCGATCTCGACTCGCTTGCTGGACAATCCGCCAAAGGATCGCCCCTCGAGTGCATCCTTCCAGTCCGGCAACTTTGGTGGTGGTTCCAGGAGCTCCGGTTTTCCAGCTAGCGAGCCTTATATCCCGCAACATACTTCGCTGGCACCTCAAACAAGGCTACGAGCTGAGCCGCGAAGTGATTCTGGTGACAATGGCTATCAGTTGCTGCGACCGACAGCGCCTGGTTTATCAGAGTTTGGGACCGGCAGACACTTGGTTCCAATGGACGAGGAGCTGGTCTTCAGGATTCTGTGCCCAAGCGAAAAAATTGGGAACATAATCGGCAAGTTCATCCAGACGCTTCAAGAGGAGACAGGGGCGAAGATCAACGTTCCGGATGCGGTTCCCGGCTGCGAAGAGAGAGTCATCATCGTATCTGCTGTTGAGGTGATAACAGGTTTAGTTTCTTTTTCTCGTTTGCTGCCACCATGCGATGATGAGGAGCTCTTTCTTTCTGTGCAGTCCCCGGATGATGACCTCTCGCCCGCTCAAGAGGCTGTTTTTCATATCCAGGACAAGCTCAGGGATGATGGAGGAGAGACGTCCGAGCGTGTTGTCACTAGGCTGCTGGTTCCATCGAATCACGTAGGCTGCCTTCTGGGAAAAGGTGGCAACATCATAAGTGAGATGCGGAACTCGACTAGAGCCATCATCCGAGTTCTAGACAGAGAGCAGCTACCACTTTGTGCTCTAGACAATGACGAGGTCGTCCAGGTATGGTTTTGTTTTTCACTTTTCTGCTTTCGTCTGCGACGCGACACGGTCTTTGGACTTCCAGGTTTTAGGCGAAATACGTGTTGCCCGTGATGCTTTGGTACAAATCACCTCAAGACTGCGAGCTAACCTGTATAGAGAGAAAACTGACCGCTCTGACGACTATGGATACCAGAGATCCACTTCCCCGTTGTCGAACTTCGGTTTGCAAGCGAGTCAGCCACCCGGCATTCAAGCTCCGAGAAGTCCTCCGTCATGGTTACTACAACAGGTGCTCATTCCTTCCCCCCTCGTTTAAATCTCGACTGACAAGTTTTCTTCCATGTCTAGACCGAAAGAGGAGCCTACAATGGTTTGCCACGGCTTACAAGCTATGCTGGAATCGAGAGAAGCTATGGCTTGGCAGGAGATCGTTCGGCCTTGCCGACTGGCCTTACCAAGTAAGTCACTCTATACAACGTCAGTATCTTAACTTCTTTGCAGCCTCAGCGTCGTCACGTCAACCAAGATCGATGTTCTCATCCCTGAAGTCACTTTTTCTGCTGTTCTTGGACAAAATGGAGACAACTTGACACAGATTTCCAAGGTGAGCTCATGTTTTCTAGAACGGCAATCAAGAACACAAGTCTCTATGCAGATGTCCGGAGCTAAAGTCACTCTCGCCGATGGATGCACTGCCACCGGCGATAGATTGATCGAGATATCTGGGACTCCAGATCAAACCAACATCGCCAAAACGGTCGTGGAAGCATTCGCGGCGTCTGGAAACAAGAGGAGCTAGCGAGAAGAAAGGAGTGGTTTAGGAATAAAAAATTGTGTGTGTTAAAGAAAGATTACATTACTTTGCAAAGAACCCTAAAAACAGAGTGCAACTCTGTTTTTAGGGCTAGAAGAATTCTAGGAATTTAGGGTGCACTCGAGGAGGAGAGCGAGCGGCAGGCCATCGATTCTACCGCTGCATTGCGGAAGCGAGCTCGAAACAGGTGATCGCCTTGCGAAACCCCGCCTCCTCGAGGACAGTTTCTCAGGATCGCCGCTCCATTTGTCCACTGACACAGGCGAGTTTGCTTCCCCGTGCTGGAATCCCAGCGATCGAGGCCAGCAGCGGATCAGGGGCGAGCGCGGCGTCACTGCTCGCTCGAATCGAGCGAGCGCGGCGAGATTTCTCGGGTGTATTGGGCTACAGGGACGACATTTTCGTTTTAAAGGTAAGGGGGAAATTTTCTTCTTTTTTCTCACTTTGGTTTTTGGTTTGAGGACGATGATGATGTCACGTGATTAGGGTTTGTTGTTTGGTGCAAGAAAAGAGAGCGAGGCGGGGAGATGGTGGAGTGAGAGGGGAGAAGGCGCCGCGCGAAGCGAGTGGAGAATCACAGGAAGAAAAGAGAGATGAAGATGCGTATGGGGGCGCCGAAGCAGAAATGGACAGCAGAGGAGGAGTGCGCGCTGCGCGCTGGCGTCGAGAAATATGGCCCAGGGAAGTGGAGGGCGATCCAGAGGGATCCAAAGTTTGGACCAGCGCTTGTCGCTCGCTCAAATGTGGATCTCAAGGTGCGTGGAATCGTTTCTCTGCTTGCTTTGCTTTCTTTCTTTTGCTTGGTTGTTTCTTTCTCTCATCAAAGTTGGTTTTTTTTTTTGTTCGCTTTTCCTTGGCGTTCTGACAGTTCTTTGCTGCAGGACAAATGGCGGAACTTGAGCGTTAGTTCCGGCCAGCCGCGGATTCCCAGGTCGAAGGTGCGTCGTGTGTCGAAATCCTCGGAGCGTACTGGCTCCGGGAAGAACCTCAGTGGCAGCAGTGATTCCGAAGAGGGAGAGGGAGAGGAATATGAAGATGAGGACGAGGATGGGAACGAAACGCCTCCAGTTTACAATCAAAGGAAGCAACTTGGCTCCAGGTATGCGGGAAAGGCTCCTTTTTCTTCTTTCATCTGTATCTGGCTGCGTGTTGCAGGTACGATGAGCTCGTGTCTGAAGCCATACTCACGCTCAAAGAACCTAATGGTTCAGACATCTCGGCAATCGCAAACTACATCGAGGTGAGGAGTTTTCTTTTGCTCTCGCTCTTGCCTCACTGTGTTTCCTTTTTGCTTCTCAGGAGCATCAGAGAGTACCATCTAGATTTCGGAAGTTACTCACCTTGAAGTTGAAAGCTTTGACGGCTCAAGGAAAGTTGGTAAAGGTACGAAACTATATCTCAATTTTACTGTTCAGTCTAAAGATCAGCGTGATAGCCAGGTAGGTAAATCATTCAAGGTGCGAGACTACTTGTTTTTCGGCAAGACAGCCAAGGGCACACGGTTACGACGGCAAGATCTGGACGAGACGTCGCCAAAATTCCTGAGAACCGCAACCGCGTTCGACTTGAGTAATGCCAGGTCGAAGATGAAAACGGCGGAGGAGGCTGCGAGGCTGGCCGCTCAAGCCGTCGCAGACGCCGAGGCCGCCGCCGCCGCAGCCGAACAAGCAGCGAGAGAAGCCGAGGCCGCCGAGGCCGTGGCCGAGGCTGCCGCCGAAGAAGCCGTAGCTCTGGCTGCAAGGTCCGGGAAAGGTATGTCTCTGTTTACTTCCATCCTTTCGAGTTTTTGTAAGTTTTTTGTTTTGTTGGTGTGCTTTGCAGATCTAATAGCAGCAGCTCCTGTGCCTAGCGAAGCACTCCCCGTAGTTGCTGCCATCTAACTCTCCCTCGCCTGGGCGGTCGCATTTTTGGGAAAAGCTGGTTTAACTTTGGTGTCCGTGTGGGTCGCTACGACGACCCTTTGTCAACTCACAAGTAAAGCAAAGGCAAGTAAGCAGTGCATCCAAAAACATCATCTCATTCACCATTGCTACCACTTCATCACTCATCACCACCATCTGTAATCTATGAGAGGGACAGAGAGGGAGACATAGAGCACGATAGAGACAGGGAAAGAAAAGTTTGTATGTTAAAACCACAGGAAGGCTTTGTAATTCCAATAGATTCATTCACAGCGAGAGCTTTCTCGCTTCCAAACGCGCGCGAAGTTCTTCTTTTTCTCTCGTGATCTAGCGGAAGTTCGCGAGATCTACCTCGGCTCGCTGTAGAACGCTTGCAAGCTCGTCCTGCGCAGCGGCTCGCCGCGGAGCGACGCAAACGTCGTGTCGAGGATCTTCACTGCGACGTAATCGCCGGGCTTGGTGTCCACCAAGTCGCCGCTTTGGTGGTCCGGGACTGGAGCTCTGGAGAAGAAGACTTTCTGGCCGCTGTCGCAGCGTCCTCCCCACTCGTTGGGATTTCTCTTGTTTGGAGCCTCGATGAGAACGAGCTGCGTCTTCCCGAGCTGGGAATGGTACCTGGCGGCGGATGATCTCTTGAAAGTGGCGATGAGCTCCGAGAGGCGGCGCTGCTTCACTTCCTCTGGAACGTCGTCTACGTCGTGCCTGTGCGCTGGAGTTTTCTCGCGCATGCTGTACGCGAACATGTAGGCCATCTCGTAGCCGACGGTCTCGACGATGCTGAGAGTTTGGAGGTGATCTTCTTCGGTCTCACCGCAAAATCCTGGAAGAGAAAAACTTCGAACTTCAAGCAAGCAGAAAAAACGAAATTTTTTCTACCTGCGATGAAGTCACTGCTGAGAGCTACACCCGGGATGATCTCTCGTATCCTCTCCACGAGCTCGAGATACGCCTCGCGAGTGTAGCCTCGTCTCATCCTCTCCAAAACCCGCGAGCTCCCGCTCTGGACCGGCAAGTGGATGCTGTTGCAGACGTTGTGATGCTCTCTCATCACGAGCAGCAAGTCGTCCGGGAAGTCCTTGGGATGAGGCGACGTGAACCGGAAGCGCATCTCGGGATACGTCTCCGCCAGGCACTTGAGCAAGCTCGCGAAACGCAGACCCGACTCGTTGGTGCGATAGATCGCCGAGAAACCCGAGCTGAGAACGTCCGACTGGAAGTACTTGATCGCGTGCTTGCCTTGTCCCACGACCACGGCCTCACTCTTCTTCTTTTCCTGCTCGCGGCGTTGATCTTCGGCAAGATCTCCTTCTGTGATTCCCGGAGTGTTGGACAGATCGCAGTAGCTGTTTACGTTCTGTCCCAGGAGAGTGACTTCCTTCACGCCCTGCTCCCACAGCTCCCCGACTTCTCTCACGATGGATTCCAGCGGACGCGAGCGCTCGCGTCCCCGAGTGAAAGGAACAATGCAGAACGCGCACATATTGTTGCAGCCTCGCATGATCGACACAAAGGCGGTCACCGAGTCCTTGGCGATCCTCACCGGCGAGACGTCGGCATAAGTTTCTTCCAGCGAGAGCAAAGTGTTGATCGCCTGCTGGCCCTGCTCCACCGAAGAAAGCAGCCTCGGAAGATCCCTGTATGCGTCGGGGCCACAAACCACGTCCACCATCTTGTCCGCCTCGATGAGCTTCTCTTTGAGCCTCTCGGCCATGCAACCGAGAACCGCGACCTTGGGAGGAGGCCTGGAAGATTTGGTGCCATTCTTCCTCCAGTTAGATTTGATGTGCTTGAAGTAGTTTAGACGCTGCCAGATCTTGTTCTCGGCGTTGTCCCGGATGGCGCAGGTGTTGATGAGGATCACGTCCGACTCCTCGGGGAGCTGGACGATGTCGCCATAGCCGGCCTTCTTCATGATCGCGAGAACCACCTCTACATCGTTGAAATTCATCTGGCAGCCATACGTTTCCAGATAGAGCTTCCTTCCTTCCAGGATCGACGAGGGCGAGGAAGGCAATTCCTCGGCAGTGCTGGGAAGAGGGAAAGGGAGACATCCATAGAAATCCAAGAACAAAAAGCTGCGCTCTTACGGCAGAATGGCGACGCTTGCTGCCGCTCGCACACCGCGATTCACGAGCCTCAGCCGCGCCCTCCCTCCATTCCAATGCTCGCTGGCGAATGTGGAGGCCGCGACGCACAGGCTCCTCCCGGGCACCATAGCCATTTCCATCAATCCCCCATAAACCCTAAAACCCTACTTTACCTTTACCTTTATCCCCTTGCGAGTAAAATTAGGGTTCTTCGTGATGGAGAGTCCGGGCATTGCCGAGCTCGATCTCCCGGACGACGATGACACTTTGGCGCCGGAAGAAGAGGAAGCGCAAGAGCAACGCCCTGCCGACGATCTAGAAGTCGAGATTGTCCAGCAGCGGATCGTCTTCATCATCCCCGCATTGCCTCCGAGGCCGGAGATCCACAAGAACAGGAGGAAAGAGAAGCGGCAGCGGCAGCGCGATCGCGATCGCGGCCAGAATCCAGAGCAATTGCAGGAGAGGCAGAGGGAGAGGAAGCGCCAGAGAAAGGAGATTATCGTCCCAAGCATCAATCCAGGGGCCTTGGCGAGATTGCTAGCGCCGGGCCAGGAGGAGAATCTCATTCACAGGACCAAGACACTGTTCTTGAGAAAGAGGGTGGAGAGAAGAGGAGGATTGCGACTGTGGCTGGGCTCCAAGGGGCTGGGAAGGTTTGCGCGGCTCTTCCAGGAGCACAAGATCGATGTGAGCGAGCTCTCGCATCTCACCATGGATGCTCTCAAGCAGATTGGTGTTCTTCCAGTCGGGCCTCGCAGAAAGCTTATCGCAGCGATCGAGAAGCTGTGCATCTGAGCGCTTGGACGACGAACGAAGAACAAAATTTCAAAGATTGGAACTTACAAATCTCAAATGGTGGTTTCGTATTTAGATTTCGTTCGAGCGAATCATCATCTCCGTGCTTCGAGCTTCTTGGCTTCCTTGGCTGCGAAAACAAAGAGATTCTTGTTTAGCTTCCAGTGGATGGATTGGGAAAAATCTTCTTTTTACCAGCTTTTTCCTCTTCGCGTTTCTTCGCAGCCTCCACCCTCTGCTGTCTGATCATTGCTAAGCGTTCTACAGCAAAAACCACACTGCGATAAAGAGAGAAGAAAAGAGAAGAAACTTTACCAAGATCCTTTCGAGCTTGCTCAGTTTTTCCTTGCTCCTGGAGTTTGAGATAGCGTTCATGCGCTCTTTGCTTCTCAAGCTCCTCCCTGATCGATCAACGCAAAAGTTTAGTTTTTTTTCATAGATTCTAAGAAGGTTGTCTTCACCTTTCGCGTCTCGAGAGCTCGGTTGGTCTGTCCAACTACAAAACGAATGGAATAAACGCCATTTCGAAAGCTACTCACTTACATCAACATCTTTCGCTTTGGTCCCTTTGGCTTTGGCCAAGTTGGGATTCTCCACTTCAATCACGCCTTGAGTGCCTTTCTTCTTCTGCGAAAGAAAGAGCATAACAAAACCAAATGAGAAGATCAACAATAAAAAACGATGAACGAATACCTCCGGCTCCTCTTCCGATTCTACCTCAGACTCCTCGGACTCCTCCTCCACTTCCTCTTCCTGAAGAAAAAGCGAAGAAAAAAAAAAAAAAATCGATAGAGAAATCACGACATAGAAACAAGAAGAGAGTTTTCTCTCGAGCAAAGCGCGCCTTACCCGTCTAAATGTGCGAGGCTTCGCAGACGTGCCAGCAGCTGCGTGAATGCGATCAATTCAGCTCCAAGACAGGCAAGCGAGGAAGAAATACGTTACCCATCTCTTCCGGCGTGGAGAAATTTCGCTTGCCCGTAGGCTTTCCCTTGAACTTCCCGCGGCCTCCGCCCTTCCCCATGACTGGCGAAAGCGCAGCTCCACCGCCGAGAGCGCCTTGGAGCAATAGAGATCCACACTAAACAAACCCTAAAACTCGGAGGTCTGAAGTTCGAGGCCAATAAGCCCAACAAAAACGTTAACCCTAAAACAGAGTAAAGTGAAAATTAGGGCCTTTGCTGTGAGCTATGGCGTCTTTGGCGCCAGGCGCCTTCCTCTCTCCGCTCAATCCGATCGCGTCCAGCAGGAACACGAGGATTTCAGTGCAATGCGGGCGCGGCATTGGCTATCTGAGCGCTGGATCCAGTCGATCGTTGAAATTAGGTTCGATTTTGGTAGCAGCAGCAGCCGCGGATCCAGATACTTCGGCGGCAGCAGCTAAGTCTGACGACTACAATCGAGCAATGCAGCGGCAGATGAGGAATCCGTATGAGTATCACCACGATCTAGGTCGGTCTTCTTCCTCTCCTCGTTTCCATTTGTCTAGTTCGTGCTGGAATTTGTGTGGATTGAGGGCAATGCAGGCATGCATTTCACTGTGATAGAGAAGAATCTCATCGTGGGTTCGCAACCGCAGTGCAAAGAGGACATCACTCGCCTGTACGAGGAAGAAGGCGTCCGGGCGATCCTCAACTTGCAGCAAGACAAAGATGTCGAGTACTGGGGTATCGACTTGCCCGCGATCATGAAACAATGTGCCTCTCATGGCATCGCTTACTTTCGTATCCCGGTACGCTTTCTCATATTTGCTCGATCTTTGCGTTCTACTCCTCGATGGCATTCTCAGTTTTGCTCGATCTTTGTTTTACTTTGGTTCCAGGCGCGAGACTTTGATCCAAACTCGCTACGCAACGAGCTGCCAAGAGCAGTAGCTGCTCTCGAGAGCGCGATCTCCAGCGGCAGCGTTTACGTCCATTGCACCGCCGGCCTGGGAAGATCACCGGCAGTGGCCATTGCCTACCTCTACTGGTTTTGCGACATGGATGTGAGTAGAACTTTGCTCTTTTTCTTCTTCAAGCTTGGCATTTTTCTCTTCCAAATCTTAGTTTTGTTCTTCCAGATGAACACCGCGTACTCGCTGCTCACATCCAAGCGCCCGTGTGGGCCAAAGAAAGAAGCGATTCGTGGCGCCACTTATGATCTAGCGAACGACGATCCATTCAAGCTTCCGCTGGAAAAGCTTCCAGAGGATGCCTTCACGGACGTTTCCGAAGAAGAAAGAAGACTAATCCAACAGCGCGTGAGAAAGCTTCGATAGAAGTTCTACAATCATGGAAATAAATTTTAATAGATTTTAGGGCTCTTGGCACTATGAGCCCTAATTCTTGGCGATGATGGAGGCCGCCTACGATCGGCGGAGGTATGACCAGCATCATCCAACGCGGCCGCCGCCCCCCAATCCGTCATCGTCATCGTTCTATCCTCGTCTCCCGCAGCAAGCGCCGGCGCCTCCGACTGTGAATCGCGCGGCGCTGCCGCCCGTGCCTGGAGCTCCTCCTCAATCATGTAAGTCTACTCGCTCGCAGCTCATTGCTGTTGGATCAACGCTTGTTATGCAGCAGGACTTGGTATCAAGGTCGCGCTCAAGCCACAGTATCGAATGGCGCCTCCGGTGAGGATAAAAATCTCTCTTTGGAGGGCAATTCATGGGTTTTCTTTCTTTTTCTTATCAATGGTTTCTTACAGGCGCAATTGTCTCCAGTTATCGGAGAAGTTCCAAGAACATCGATCGCCCAGTTTGATTTCGATTTCGAGCGCAAAGTTATAGACGATGCTGAGAGAGGAGTTCGCACTCAAATCCGGCAACATCAGCTGGCAAATGGCGGTGAGACAGCCTCTGCTAGTGTAAGTTCTTCGCTGTTCGTCGTCTCCAGTGATGGCAATTTCCTTAGCCTTGTGTGATTCTCCTCTTTTGTTCTATCTTCCAGCAAGCGAACGACGATCCTGTTATCAGCAAATACTTGTCAATGGGATTAAGTAGAGAAGCAGTGTCTTTGGGAGTGGCGGCTTACGGCGATGTGCAGGCTAAGGTACCAAAGTTTCCTCTCTCTTTCGTTTCTCTCTCTGGCTTGCTGTGCTTACGTTTCTAAGCTTCCAGGTGGTGGAATTTTGCTCTGCGTATAGTCTCCTTAGAGAGATGGGCTTTCCATCCACCGCTGTTGCTGGAGCCCTTGTTATGCACGACAATGACAAGGAGAAAGCACTCGCACAATTTGTATAGATAAGTAGAAGGGTTGTCTCTTTTATCTTCGCAAATGTATGAATTGGAATTTTTGGATTAGCAACGTAAATACATCAAATTAATAGGAGCCGTTGGATTTGAGCATTCAACCTGCTTGTTTTAGGGTTTAGGGTATAGCGATGCGGGCGGGCAGCTCAAAGCTTGTAGCGCAGAGGTATGGGAGCGGGAAATAGATTTTCTACGAGGGCTGTCCCCCGGGAAAAAATTCGGCAGCGCGGGCGTTTCCCAATCGCCCTCCAGAAATAGTGCTAGTTCCTGTGGCATTTGGTAGAGGAAAGCTCCAAGTTTTGCGATCATCTCAAGATCTCCAGTGATCAAGCTAGCCATCTTGACTGTCAATTGTCCATGCACGAGAAACACACCGACGAGTAGCACGTAGACACAGTTTAAGGAGGTGCTGCGGAGAGGAAGCTACTGGAAACGCCAGAGTTTCTCATCGCCTTTGCGGTGACTGGCACGAAATGGCAGCTCTTTGCGAAGAGAGCTTCGGCTCGGCAACTGGAACCTTACGACTTAAGCGAAGGCGACCGAGTGGAAGTTGCTCTGTGGTGTTCTTCAAGCTCTACTTTCTAGCAGCTGGTGGTAAGACTTACAGCACTACAGCACTACTTACGGCTCGTTGTTTTTCATCTTTTTCAGAATGCTGGCGCTGTTTAAGGTGCACGAGCGGCTCTAGTAAACGATTCAGCTGGACGTGTCTCAACTGGACTGGTTCGTGCGGTGGCTTGGCCGAGCGTCAGCACGGTGCGTAAGAACTTCGCGAGGGACGTGGTTGCTGCTCTCGCCGCTCTGCACGGTGCTGGTCTTGTTCATCGCATCTGGTGGGCGGATGTTCGGATCTGCAAATTCTCTTTTGGCAAGTGATTTCTCTTTTCCATCAAGGTACGTGGATCCTTTGGTTGCTGGTTACAATGTCGCTTGACGGACTCGTTGCTTGAAGTTCTGAGCGTCGATTTTGTTTGATTCGGACTTGAGGACAAAGTTCCGAGGACAAACGTGTTGCTTGTACTCCAATCCGGCAGCAACTCAACGATGACCAGCAAAGACCAAGGGTACCATGCAAGCCAAGGTTCCCCCTCCTGTTTTTTCTCTCCCGTGCTGTGCTTATGTTTGTAAACTTCCAGGCCTTGGAACTTTGGTCCGCTTAGAAAGTCTTGCTTAAACAGATCCAGTGACGAGGAGGAGGAAGGCAGAGGTTGAGGTTGTCTTTCTTATCTCCCTTTTAGTTCCTTCGGCCTTGAACTTAAAACAAGTACGTGCTAGATCTCTCCATTTTGACATGCTCATGTGGTCTCAGGTCCATCATGATGTGTGTGCTAAAGGCATAATAAGCTGGTGCTGGCCTCCAGAAGCTGGAGAGATATGATTGACGCGGGTATCGCCCTCGTTTCACATAAAAGAAGGCTGCCAGTATGCAGTGACGTCCCCGGCCCTGGCGTTGCATGGCCAGGTTGCTTTGCACGTCTCGTCTGTACTCCACACAAGGTACTATCCACTTATATAAGCAAGATGTGATCCTTGGCTTTTCATTCTCAAACTTTTAAGCCTTGTATGCAGGCTGCGATTAGGAAATCCTAAGAGCTCTGAGGAAAATCCGTCTTGGCAGCACTGCAACTTTGGGGATTCTGAAACAGAGCTAAAGCCGAGCCGCCGACAGTACCCGCATTTATTCCCGCCAGGGCAGCAGCAGCAGCACCGATAAGAAGAAAGGAACATTAGAAAAATGGCCATTACTTACAGCAGCAGCTGCTACAGCATTCCTTGAAGTGTGAGAAGAAGGGAAGATCATAAAAAACATTAGAAATCAGGCCTACTAGTAGCGCAGCTGAACGGGCTCACAGATGTGAGAGCGGAGGAAAGACGCAGTTTGGAAAGGAACAGGTGCCTCTACATTTGGAGCTTGGCCAGCAAAGGAAAGAAAAAAAAGCAGACAGCGATGGTGGCGATGGTGGATTACGGAGAAGGTTTGCTCTTCCAGGTACTTTATACTTACTAGAGCTATGCTGAGACTTTCAAAGGCTATACTACCTAACTGTGCTCTCCAGGTGTGGTTTTCTTTGCGGCAGTCAAAGAGAATTTTTCTCGGTCGCGACTCGGGCGCTCCTGCTAGTAGATCCTAGAAATGCTCCGCCATTATGACAATGGTTTTCGGAGGCGTGGTACTCTACCACCACTACCAAGTAAGTCAGTCTATAAGATTGTTGTAGCTACCTGGGAATAGCTAACTCCAATCAATCAGGTGGTGTGAATTCGATGGAGCAAGCAAGCAGCCTCTGGAAAAGATAAGAAAGCAGGAGGAAAAAAAAAGAATTTTTGAAGAATTCATTGGCAGTCAGGGGTGGTACTGGTACGATTCGACCGAGATCCTCGTCTAGTCCTCGGCGACGCACGACCACGCAGCCACTTAGTCATTGGGGGGCACCTTTTCCCAAGCCCGGCCAAATTGCAAGTACCTGGTTGTCCAACAGGGGAGAAAGGAACAGTGTTGGAGCTGTGGCTGGAAGAGCTCACGGGTGGTCTTTAAGCGAGAGAAGATCGCCGGAAGAAGAAGCAAAGAAGGGAAGAAGCGAAAAGAAAAGCCAAGAACAAAAGAAAGAAAATGGACGACGAACAGGACCATATCAGTCTCTGTGAGAAGATTTAAAGCTCTCGGGGCAGCGGACAGAGTTCCGTTATTGGATTCGGTGCTCGCTCTGGATCAAAGCTACAATTTTTAGACAAGAAAACAGAGTGGTGGTGAAGACAAGTTACGCTGGTTTTGGAGAAACGTCTCGAGTTTTTCTTTCTTGTTGTTTTTGTCCTTGTGTTTTTGGCTGATTGTTTCGTGCCTTCCAGGGATCCTGGCCGAAGAGATTAACAATAACGAGGAGAATCATTTCATAGTATGTTCTAAAGCTTTGAATATCTTTGGCCGGGAGATCGAGGAGAGCAAGAACAAGCGACAAAACGAAGGGAAAGGGTCTGCCTTGGAATGCATGAAACTCTCGTGAACAAGTTTGACATTCGCTCCACAGCGCACAGCTCACTCCCACCAACGAGTGGATGAATGAATGAATGAATGGATGGATGGATGGTTTGTCCATTCTCTATGATCAAAGTGTTGGTAGTACTCCTCCCGGGATTTCCACCACAGTGTGTGTTTTTTTAGTTCTTCCAAATCCCATCCTTCCACTTCACGATAGCTCGCTACTTACGTGGTTTGACCGATTTGGGTTTGTTCCTTGGGGTTAAGTTATCCAGATTGACGTGAACTTCAACATATCCTCGCCCTCGAACAACGATAAACAAGATTAAATTGTCTTGTGCTTGGATGGTTTGAATGAAACGCAAGGAAGAAAACTTAGAACAGAACAAGATCCACGCAGTAAAAAAGTCTCAAAGCAACTAAGACTGACTTTGGAAGTCTAGGAGGTCGTGCCAAAACCATTTGACAAAAGCTTCGTATAGGTGGTGGTGTTTGTGTCTTTGTTTTGGACGTGATCCATCAATCGCTCGTCCCCCATGCCACGACGAGCCATTGCCATCTTTGCGAGCTGGACGGGCGATAAATCGGTATATAGCTACATTCTATACGTTTAGATGATCTGGACGCATCGATTGGAGAGAAGCAAAAGTTTGTTTTTTACGTAGTCAATACGTTCAAGCCTTCAAAGCCATGGGATCTTATACATACATACATGGGGAGGGAGAGAGAGAGAGAGAATTTGGTGATGGTTTTGTTTGTTTGCGTTTGTGGTCCGAGAGAGAGGGAGTTCTTGGTTGTTTTTGCGAATTTGATGATGGTTTAAAGCTTGTTTTTTCTGCGTTTGTGGTCCGAGAGTTTGATCTGTCAGCAGTGCTGTGGCTTGCTATCAGCTGGGAATCTGATCCACACACGACGAAAGAGCTTTGCGCTCTTCCAGTGTCCAGTGTTTCTCGTCCCTTTCACAATACGATAAAGTAAAGAGCTAGCTAAGCTACACGGTCTTGAGAGATGTTCTCCCGTACACAAATGGCCTGGCTGACACAACCACGGTGACAATCACACAAGCATTTTAAAAAGGATAGAAAAAAGCAGAAATATTTCGGCAAGAAAGAAAGGGAACGAAAGAGAAAAGATCATTCTCTTCCCAAGGAAGTTCGTGAAAACTGCCTCGATCGCTTTTGTGCAGCGAGTGTAGCTCTACAAATGTGGTGCTAGCTGTGAATGCCAGAGATCCACGCTCCTTTCATCTCTATAGTTGTTGATAAATATGTTTCGCTTGATCGCGAGATTTGTGGTGATTCATGGGTTCCACTTTGAAACAACACGACACACAGCTGTGGAGACGACTAGTACGAAGCGATTGACCAAAGCCCACCAAACTGAAAAGTTTTGGAGACAAGGACCAGAGCGTCACCACAAATCTAGAAGCTGTGAGAGAGGGATTCACCCAAGGGTCACAATTCACAAGTTAGAAGGAAAGAATCTATCAAAAAGAAGAGAGGGATGGAATGCTAGATGGCAAGTTTGCAAACGTTTAATGTGGGTTTTTTTTGGGGTGCTGGTGGAGGGCCGCTGCCAGTGCATTAATGGGAAGAGAAGACATGTCTTTGTCCTGCCTTCTTAACAAGACAAGGTCCTTGTCTTGAAATTTTGCTATGGTTGAAAGAATATTGTACTGCATGGCATATCTATCTTTCCAAATGCCATATACTTGGCCGCTTGTTTATGTGATTGACCAATCAAATCAGTTTAAAATATTCTCTCTCTCTCTCTCTCTCTCTCTCTCTCTCCTTTTCTCTGTGAAAAAATTAATAAGAAAAAACTAATTTCTGGCTTTGTTTTCTTCTCAAGGAACACACCACAATGTTGGCTTTTGCAACGTACAGAGTACACAAATACTCACTGTCCTCCAAGCAGAGATACCATCTCAATGTGTTGGTTCTTTGAATCTGTGGAAAAACATGCTTGTAGGGGAGATTGATGGACTGGAATAGATGGAATCACTCTCCACTTGTAGAGTGGCAGTGGTGAGGCTGCAATCCACAAAAAAGCAAGGAAAAAACAGTGGGCCTCAAAAACCAAATGTGAGTTTCTTGCCTGTGGTCCAAAGTTTCTAGCTCACTCACAATCTTCGTCCTGAAAAAATTCTTCCTGGCTTTGGAGCTCTCCAAGCTAGCAGCATTTAATGAGGGATGAGAATATCATAAACCTTGCATTTGAACACACTGAATGAGAGAAAAGTAGTGTGGACCAAACAAAGTAGTGCACAGCAGCATGTAGCTTGCAGCAGGAGGCAAGCAAGCAATCACACTGCATTGATGAAAACTGTGCAAAGTTACTTACTATAAATCTCGCTGCTTCGTCGCCATCTCGCGAATTAGTAAGCCGATAGCCAACAGGTAGAGCGAGCGAGCGCTCGCTTTCACCGGTTCCACGTCCAAAAGCCCCTGTCCAAAGCCCAAGTAAGTAAGCAGATAGAAAGAAACCAAAGAGAGTAGCGGGCGAGTAACGAAGTTATGACTAAGTGGCGACTGTCTCTGTGTGCGTCCCGTCCTTGTTGTGTGGTAGACACAACAACATCAACACGGAGAGAACGGACGGAGGGATCCAGGCCCCCCGACGGACGGACTGGATCTCGTGGAGATCTTAATGGCGTTTCTAGAGAGACCCTGCCATTAATGAGCCCAGCCCAGCCTCTCTCCTGCTCAGGTGCCCCTCGGTCTATTCCTCTTAAAATCTAGACTAGTCTCATCATCTTCTAACAATTACTACCCCCTGTTGTTGGACGGATACGACTACTACCACTCTTATACTACAACTGAGAATACAAACATGTATACGCACCTTTCAAGCGCAGTCCAGAAGTTAACCAGCTCCTCAGAGAGATTATAAGTATCTTTGGTGTATCACATTGGATACAAGTCTCCATCCTTCATGTAAATGCCGGGGGATGTCCAGAGAGAAGCGTCGTCAAGCTTGGCTGGCTTGGAGCTTTGATAGCTTTTCCCTCTTCTAGCGCTGGTGGTGAATTTTGCCTCCCTGCATTGCAACCAGGAATAAAGTAATCGTTTTCTATAAGCACACCGCATTACCCGAGGAACAATGGTGACATTCTTCTTCCTTCCTGCTTCCTTTGTTCCTTTCTCCGGACCCGACTTTTATAAGCCCTCCTAAAGAGCGATGGATGTAATTTATGTAAACTTAGTGACAAAAATTGACACCAAGCGATAAAACTTAACCTTGATGACTCAATCAACTTCTAGTAGAGCCAGACGGACGAGCGAGCAAATTGATTGATTGATCACGTACCAGCTATCCTCGTGTTTTTAAGTCCTGTAGAGACCACATACACAAGCAAGTGGCGAGTGAGAAAGTGAGAGCGTGTAAAAAAAATAAAAAATAAAAAAAACTTGTTAGCGATCGAGAAGCAAAGCACAGCCTTTTGTTTACCTTAACTGCAGCTTTTGGGTCGAGTGATTGACGATGCCTTTCTTCCGCCTGGCACAGATCTGTTCCTCGTCTTCTCTGTCTGATACTACTACTACTACCGCTCTGGTGGGTGGCTCCTCCCTTTCAGTGTCTCTGCTTACTGTATAATATCATGCTGTGCCGCCTGCTGACTTGCGCTTCTGCATTTGTCTCGGCGCTCAATTGTTTTTGCTGCCTCCTGAGTCCTGCTCATCGTTTTTTTTTTCTCCCCTGCTATACGGCTCTTCCACCGCTGCTGGCAAAACTCTCTAGAGAGAGGCTTTAAACTCCCTCTATAACAACACCGCTCGGTGTGTGCTGCCTCTTCGAGATCGCGTCTTTAGCCCGATGCTGCTGATGCCACCTGAATATTTATATATATGATAAGAGATTCCCTTCCGCCTCTAAAGTCCATCCTTCTTATCATCATTCCGCTCCAAAGCCTGGATACTATTTTCCTGCTAAGCAGTAGTAGTAGTGGTTGTGTGTCGGTCTGACCCTCCCGGTTCCGGAGATATAAGAATCCAGCCAAAGGTCATCTTAATCCCTGCTGCTGGTTGCTTCCCTCCGGCTCTCCCATATTCCTCCCATCATCGTCACGGAGTGGCTTCTCCTCCTCTTTCCTCCCTTTAAAATCTATGCTTGGCAGTAGTGCTTCGCTCTCATGCCAGACGTGCCCTCTCCCTTTCGATGCATTCTTCGCCTCTATTGCAGCCTTTCTTGTCCGCAAGTGATTCTTTGCTGCTGTTTGCTCTTTGCCGTTTCTGCTGCTGCTGCTGCTGCCGCTGTTACTGCCAACGAATTACTACATACTCCTCCGCTTACTCGATCAGCATCTCCCCTTCTCGATTGGTTGTTCTTGACATCGTGCTAAATTGTTAGGTGAGCCGCAGCAGGCATCTTCTTGTACTTCCGCTTGCCTTGCCAAGGTCGCTGCCAAAGCATTCAAGAGTTTCTCATGCTCTTTCTCCTCTTCGCGTCGTATACACCTGCAAGCGGAGACCACCATGATCACGATGAGTGCTCGTCGAAATCCAGAATTATTCAAAGTGAGCTGTGATATGGGGTAGCACAGTACCGGTTGCAGTAGTTAGCAGAAGCTGTCAAAAATTCTCTGAAATTGCGTCCCAGTATATCTTCCATTGCAGCAACCACGAACAGCATTTTCCCAAAGGGAGTATGAGCAGCGGCGACGCCTCTTACTAAGGTTGGATCCCACTGCTGTCTGTGATTGCGATACTAATCCTTCAGCAGGAAGAAAAACGTGAGAACAGCCTTTATCATAATTCTCAAGACTCTTACGCTGCTTCAAGCACGATGCCAGGCCTGGGTTATCGGCTCTTCGGAGTAGTCAACGGCATGTTCTCGGAGCAGCAGCTGTTTCGGGAGTCTCTGAGCTATGACAGAGGCTTTTGTTGATGGAAAAGCTGAGTAAGAGAGGCCGAGCATGAACAGAAGAAAGCAGGACCACTCTGTTCCAGATTTGTCACTCCAGATCAGCCCCCCGTCGACAGGCAAGAGCACTCCCATGGCGACTTATCAAAAGAACTACCAGGAATTCGATCTCTGGAGTCGGGCTCAGCACAACTCAAGCAGCTCAGTCAGTGACAACTCCTCCAATTCCACTTGTGGGAGTGAGAGGTGGTGCAGGGAAGCAGCCGCTGCACCTCCATCCACGGAGCTCTCGCTAGGAGCAAACCCCTTGTTTCGAGCGACTCCTCCCTCTCCTTCTTTCAAGAGCAGCATAAGATCAAGCTCGGAATCATATGCAGCAGCTTTGGAGGCGTCTAGACCAGGATTCGCTGTATACAGCAGCAGCTCGTCACACATTCCAGCAGCGCAATCATTTCAGAACTTAAGAATTGCAAATGAGGATGCTCACTGCAGATCCGCGGATGCGTCCACCAGGAACAGCTTCCATGCTTTCTACTCACACGCATTCGGGTATGGTGATCAATCGGGGGGAGCAGGCCAAGCAGGACATGGGCTTGTTGCAACTTACAGCAACGCCGCTGGCGGTCTACAGCAGCAGCAGCAGCAGCAGCAGCAACATCAGGCATACAGCTCGTTCCACAGACTTCACAATCGAGAAGGACTTCCCAACATCTTGTCAGCAGTAAACAGCACGTCATACGACTCAAGGGACTACCATCAGCGAAGATATACACCAAGCCTTCAGGAAATCTTGCAAGGGAGGAGCCCGCAAGGCCAAGGTCGGTACATGGAACTAGCTGAGAATGCAGGCATCACATTGTCGACCCTAACAAGGAGCATTGCACAGCAACACGAAGCTCACACAGGTAGCAGCAATCTCAGGTCGCAGTTTATGCCTCGCTTACCCACCAAGAGAAGCATGCGTGCTCGGAGAATGCGATGGACAAGTACACTCCACGCTCACTTTGTACATGCAGTGGAGCTCCTCGGAGGACACGAAAGTAAGCCTCGCTCGAAACTGATCTCTCTTGCATTGTTCCGCAGCTGCTAGAGCATCTGTCAGGCATGAGACGTATCAGCACAATTTTTCTGCAATCATTATGCATCAGAGAGCATGCAAAAGAAAGGAAAAAAAAAGAAAGTTTCTCACGAGATCATGAACTGGTTTCTCATTTTCTCCATCATATGCATGATCTTTGTCTCACAGTTTTCGATTTGATGATCAGGGGCAACACCAAAGTCTGTGCTGGAGCTTATGAACGTCAAGGATCTCACTTTAGCCCATGTCAAGAGCCATCTCCAGGTACGAAGGGAAAAACTCTCTCTTCCAGAGAACTAAGTTACTCCACTGGAACATTGTTTCCATTTTCTAGATGTACAGGACGATCAAAACAACGGACAAAGCAAGCAGCAGCTCAGGTACTTCAAACTTTTTCTAAAGACCAAAAAGATCCTCACGTAACCAAACACGCAGGCGCTACGAATGACGCGACCTCAGGAAGCCTGGAATCGTTGAACGCAAGAAAATCCAGCGAGCAAGTAGCGTGGCATGATCCAGAAAGGTAGAAAAGGACCTACATTCCTCCTGAAAATCCTTGGAAATTTTCATGATCCAGGTCGAAAACACGAATGGAAGAGGGGCGATCATCGGGCTGGGAGGCTTGCGATCACGAGGTAGCCGTAATCTAGGTTTTTGAGACCGATATTTCATCGATCGATGCAGGAACACGAGGAGGAGGACGAAGACTTACCAGGGAAGAAGAAGCAATCGAAGCCGCCATGCCCGGAGCTCAGCCTGGGACGATCGAGCTGGGACGATCCACCGCCATCGCCGCCATCCTCCGAGGGCGAGGAGCTTATGTTACTAAAATGCTAATCCTAAAGGAGGGCCGTTAAAGTTTTGCAAGGCGGTTAAAAACTTCGCTTGTATGTTTCTTCCAATTTTGAAAGAGCCGGAAGAAACAAACAAGATGGAAGCTCACACTCAAGAAAAAAAGTTATGAAGTAAAAAAGTTCTTCGAGAGGAAAAAAAAAAACGCTCACTTATTCACACAAAGCTCTCCTTATTCTCGCGTTCCTTCTCTCTCTCTCTCTCTCTTTTGGTTTCCTAGACTCGAATCCAGGCGATTCAAGGACGATCTGATCGACGAAGTTCACTCCTGGACGAGCAGCACGCATGAGAATTAGATATAGTAGAAGCCCACCTCGATCAGTCTTAGAACATGATATCTTCGTCGCGATCGGTCTCGGACAGCAGCATGTTTGAGTTGGATTTGTAGCCCGAGTTCCCAAAGTCTTGGAAATCGTCGCTCTGATCGTTACTATGAGACGCAAACGATGATCCAGTCGTGGTGGAAGCAGCAGCCTGGTGACCACCACCGCCACCGCCACTCTCACTCCTGTAAGAAGAGTCGGTCTCGTCGCTCCGATAGCTCGGGCTCGGGCTGCTCGGACGGGGTGGCGGACTCGGACTCCGGCTACTCGAGAAGAACCCGCCACCTTTCTTCGCGGGCGGAGGAGCCGGCTTCTTTGGAGCTTTCCCGACCGCCTCGAGTCTCTTCCTCTCGACTTCCTTCTTCTTGAATCCCTGGATCTTCTTCAGCCGGAAAAACTCCTCTCTCTCGAGCTCGTCCAGCTCGCCTTTGATGTAGAGGATGGTGTTTTCGATCCTCGGCTTGACGACGTTCTCCAGCGCGTTCACTCTCCGGTTGGTCGTCTTGATCGCCTCGTCCAGCGTGAGAAAGGAGGTCTGGAGAGACGCCAGCTCCACCAGAAGCTCCACTGCCTTGATGAAGGAGGACTTACAGAGCTGGACCTGGCGGCCCCCTCGAGCGAGGCCCGTGAGATCGTTCTTGGTCTCCACCGCCTCGACGTAGTGCTCGAATTTCGGGATCTTGACGCCCGCCACATTCTCCTGCTTGGCCCTCACCTTGATCGTCGCGGCGTCCACATTCTCGAGGACGACGTGCTTGATGCTGTCCCCAGCCGTGTATTTCACCTCCGTCAGCGCGAAGGAGGCGGATTTCATGGTGTCGCCCATCGCCTCCTTGGTCTGGACGATGCGCTTGAGGATCTGCCGGAACTGCATCGTCAGGGCATCGCTCTTCTTCTTGAGCAGCTGGTGCCCCTTTGTGGCGCCGATCAGCCGCGCCTTGATCGCGCCCAGGACCGTCACGGTCGGCACCACATTGAGGCGCTGCTGCTGTCCCGCCATCGATGGATCTTCTCTTCTTACTCACCAGCCCTAGAGTAAAAAGCCCTTCTTCCTCCTCGCCAAGAACCCTAATTTCGGCTCTCCTCCAGTGGGGATATTATGGCGCGCATTTCGCCGCTGCCGCAGACAGTCGCGAGCTGCCTGCGATCCAGCAGCATTCTCTCCGGCATCTCGCAAGTAGTCGACGAGCTCGTGTGTAATGCGATCGACGCGCAAGCGACACAGGTATGAATCGATCGATCGATGATAGCTCAAAATCTTGCAACACTGCTGGATGATGGCAGATCATCGTTTTCCTGGACATCAGAAGCTGCTATATCAAAGTCGAGGACGACGGTAGAACGAAGCAAGCTTAGATTTCTTTCTTTGACATTCTTTTCGATGCAGGCTGTGGTATTAGTCGTGAGGACTTCGTATTTTTGGGAGAGAGACATGGTAAGCAGTGTCTGTTTTTTTACTTGGAACGTCTTGAACGTCTGTTCTTTGCAGCTACATCAAAGCTCCATCGCCTGGATGAGCTAGAGACTGGTCTCCAAACGCTTGGCTTTCGTGGAGAAGGCTTGAGCTCTGTTTCCGACATAGGCCTTGTAGAAGTGACGTCCAGAGCCAAAGTTAGTCCTCATACATATCGCAAGATTTTCAAGGTGCGTTCTACAGCATTTGCTTTTGGCAGTTTTGATATTATCTGCCCTTGCAGAATTGTAAGAGTTTGTCACTAGGACTTCCGGGGAACCAAAGAGATCCTGGTACAACCGGTACGTTTACTTTGCGTGGAGAAGCTTGCCTTCTCTAAGCTGTGGTCTTGTTTCTCAGTTGTTGTGAAAGACGCTTTCTACAATCAGCCAGTTCGCAAAAAGATTCTTCACAGAAAGTTGAAGAAGCCTTATTTTCCTCCATGGCATTTGTGTTAAACACTGTCTGGTTCTGCAGCTCCCGAAAAGCCGTGGAGTCAGTAAAGAACCACATTCTGCGATTGTGCCTTGTTCACCCGAAAATCCAGTTTACGTTGGTAGACCTTGAAAGGTGCTATCTCTTACGATTCCAACTAATAGCCGAAAAGGTTTTTTCATAGGGAGGAGAAGGTGTTTCAAGCGAAACCAGCAAGATCACTATCTAGCAGGATTTCTGATATGTTTGGGGATGAAACTCGAAACACTCTACAGAAAATAGATTTTGCAAAGGGATCGCTTAGGCTCGCTGGTTATATCTCCAAGCATTTGAAATCGTTTTCTACAAAGGTATAACGTTTCTTTTTATAAATTCTCTTTCATAACGTGCTGTAGTGCAGGCGTTGCAGTTTCTCTGTATCCCAATTAATCGGTACCTTTTTTCTCTGCTAGTTTTTCTTGACAACGAATTCAGATATAAATCGGAGGTTCGTCGTTAAAACTCCGTTGCACAAGGTTTTAAACTCCTGGCCGTCAACACAAATTGGCTGTCCATCGTTTGTTTTAAACCTTGTCTGTCCACATGTGGACTATGACATTACACTTGATGCATCTAAGTCGCTTGTCGTGTTTAAGGTAATGTCTACGATCATATCATTGCCTTATTGACATTCCTCTTGTTTTTAAGGATTGGAGTCCGGTGTTGTCTTTTGTTGAAGAAATTCTTAAACAACTCTGGGAAGTCGAATGCCATATTGGTACAAGCAGGAAGCCAAAAGCGAAGAGAAAGCGCGGGGCTGGTCTTATAAGAGGTGCTGAGACGTTTTCTGAATTACCTGCCTCAGATTTAGATGGTACAAAGGCATCCCGAACAGTGGTGAATACATGGAGAAGCTCGTCTGCACCCCCATTCTACAAGCCACGGAAAAAGTTTGCGACGCATAAAAGCTTTGACGACATTTCTGTCACCTACGAGGCTCCCAGAAAAAACAAAATCTTAAAGCTGGATACTCTCGACTACCAAGACCGAAAACTTTGCAAGTGGAGACAGATTCTGCTGCGACCGAGACAAAATACTTTCACAACTATCGAAAGGCCTATTTTGCAAATCGGTTCCGGAACCTTGTCCAGTGGAGATTTTCAACCTGATTCTATAACTAAGGAGATGCTGTCAGGCGCGAAAGTGCTTGGTCAAGTTGACAGGAAGTTCATTGCGGCTATCACAAATGGAGTTCTGTTTTTCATCGACCAGGTTTGCGAGCTTCCAATTAGATTTTCATTGCTAGTTTTTCTTTGCAGCACGCCGCTGATGAAAGAGTTCGTTTGGAGGAATTTCGCGATGACGTAAGTATGAAGCCGAAGTATGTACTTACCACCAGTGACTTCTTCGTGTGCTAGATCTTTTCCACGAAAGAAGGCCACGGGACATCCCTTGGAGATCAGTCGGAGGAAGTTGTATGTTTTTCAATTATGCTGTGTGGATTCCGTTGTCTCAAAGTTTCTTCCAGATTTTAACTCGGTCAGAACAAGAGGCTCTTGTATCTTACCGGGAAAAAATCGAATACTGGGGTTGGAGATCAACATTTGTTTTCTCTCAAGGGTAAGACTATTGTTATTAGCATGAAAAGCTAAGTATTGTTGCACAGTCGTTCCTCGGAAATTTGCAAAGTAGTCTTGGCGGCGGTAAGACTTTTATTTCGTGATTTGCGGTGTAACCGGCGAAAATGTTTCCAGGTTCCTTGCATCAAAGGAGTAAAGCTTACATCGAAAGACTTATTGGAATATCTTCGCCAGGTTTCTTCATTTCTTGTTCTTCTTCTATAGCACATCACTAAGTGAATAACTTGTAGCTGGTTGATACGCATGGATCATCTAGTGCACCGCCAGCAGTTCTGAGAGTCCTGAACTTCAAGGCATGCAGGGGTATGCGTGTGATTGTTTACTTTTTGGATGGGACTTTGACGAGACAATGCAGGTGCTATAATGTTTGGAGATTTCCTGCTACCTAGCGAGTGTGAGCAGTTGGTAAATGCGCTGAAGAAAACATCGTTGTGCTTTCAGGTTCGTCTTGTTGTTCATTTCCTTCTCGATATTAAAACTTACTTATGCAGTGTGCACATGGTCGCCCAACTATGGTCCCGATTGTAAATCTCGAGACTATCCGTACTCACCAGTGGCAATCACCGAAGAAAGACTTTTCCTTTTCCGTCAACAAGGCCTTGTTTTCTACAAGGAAATTCTGACAAGGAGGTATCCTACTTTTTCGCAGCTGCTTTTATAACGTTGTTGTCAAACTTGAAGCCACCGTTGCGTTGAAGCACTCTTTTTGAGCCCTACTTTATCCATGGCGTATCCTCTTTCGCAGTGCACGGCTCTTGTGTTTGTTCCACCGCCCTCTGCAGCTATCTTTGCTCCTTCCAATAGCAGGCTTCATTTAACAGGTGGGAGCATTTGCAATCGAAGCACTGAGACTCTCAAGAAAGTGTCCAGATGTGGTTCAGCATCCTCCTCAATCAATTTTGACTACCAGGTACTGTGAAGTTCACAATGCGTTTTCTGATAAGAAGTATGCAGTTTCGGGATGACGGTGGAGAGCTAGAACTCCGACTCCAGGTGCCGCCTGATCATGAAGAGATTAGCTCCAAGAACGTAGCAATCAATGCACACGATTTTTCTCTCGACGTGGCTTTGATGTCCCAAAAAGGCATCAGGACTCTTCTCAGCATCCCTCGGTTGTATAGCAGGATAAAGCCGATTGAAACAATGTGGTATGGTGTTGTATTTTACTAATTTTTTATTTCTAAGATGTAGCCTTATGCAGGTTCATTGACGAGGACGAGATTGTCTTGAGCTTGAAAAAGCAAGATGTCACACAACCGTGGCCTGGCCTTCTGGAAGCTTGGGAGTACCTTGGGAAAGGTGTGGCCGGCATGCTCAAAGCAACTTCCATATACATTGTAGGAGATTCCACATTGATTAACTCAGCAGTTGCACAAGAGCTGGCTTTGGCGTTGGGGTAAGCCCATTAGCAAGCTCTTTGTCTTTTGACGCTACTACCTTTGCAGATACGTGCCTCTAGAAAGTAAAAAACTGATGGAGCAGCTACTCAAGACGTCACTTGATGATTGTAAGTTGCTCGACGAGATTTTATTCCTACCGAGTTCAGCGATTCCTACTTAGATGCGAAGTTGGAAGACCGGGATGCGGTTGCAGAGTTGGAGTGCAAAGTTTTCGAGACTCTCAGCAAGTAAGTAAGCTCCAAACGATCTCTACTTCGATTGCTAACATCTATAATTTACGTCAGGCAGCTGAGAGTTGTCGTAGCAACACTAGGAGGAGTTCAAGGCGCGGCATCAAAACCACATAGCTGGAGATTTATGTATGCTGGTTTTACCGTGTGGCTTTCACGCAGCCAGTCCCAAGGTTCGTTTCACTCATTTCAATCCGTTGGTTCTTTATTCCTTCTTATATTTCACAGATGAAGCTGGCGCAGAGAAAGAAGCCGTGAAAGCGAAAGAAGAAGGCAGCGTCGTCTACAGCAAAGCTGAGACGGTGGTCGCTCTTAGCGGCTGGGAAGAGGGCGCTGCTAGAGACGCCGCGGAGGGTTGCCTTCGAGCTCTCAAGTATCTCATCGAGTCCGATAAAGAACTTCCAGGTTCGCATTCCTGGTTCCACAGTTTTAATTCTCTCTCTTTCGTCTTCCCACTTCGTTGGAGGCTGATTCAAGCTTTTAAATCCAGGGAACAAGAGCTTGTATGTGCGACTAGGCGCTCGTGGTGATTGGCCCAACATCATGCCTCCAGGATGGGATCCAGCGGCATAAAAGAAGGAAAAAGAAAAAGGAGGGGGGGCTGTCGGGATCGAACCGGGGACCAATGCCGGGGTCGTAGAGTAGGGTAGCGGACAGCGCGCTTGCACGCGCCGTTCTCCGCGGTTCCAGGGCGACGCACGCTTCCACTCGCCATCGCGAGGTACGAATATGCTCGGGCCGTTGTCCAGGAGCCAGGAAAGAGGTGGATTGATGGGTTTAGCAGCAGCTCAGGGCAGGCTTTGGAAACCAATCGGTGGCGGCAGTGGAATGGATGGGGGAAATTCACAGGAAGTATTGGTGTGAAGACGGCGACGAGCTGGTCGACAGTGGTGGGCACTTCTTTTTCCCCGAGCTGGAGGCTATGGATGGGGAGTATCAGGTGGACATCTTAAACCATCACCCAGCTCCGTTTTTGTCCGAGGCAGCGGCGTTGGGCTTGGCAAAGAGTGGCGGCGGTGTGGTGGTTTCTTCTTCTCAGGCTGGTGGTGGCAATGCTGGTGGTAGCAGAGTTGGAGCTTCCACAAACGACCAACGTTTCCTTCTGGTTTTCATCTTTGGAGCTTACTTCGGGCCGGACTTGAGGAACGAAGTTCCCAGAAAGTCAGCACTGCAGAGGATTGCTCACCGGCTCCCAATATACACGTCCGATGACTTGGGCGGTTCCGTGTTTAAGCTCTCGGAGATGGAAAGCATCTACTACTACGCGCTCAGGCATTCGCATCCGTCCGCCAGGGTGAAGCTCCAGTCCCTGTACAAGTTCCTGCAGGGCCATCTTGCTCCACCCGTGAGAGAAGCCCTGGAAGACGATCGGCAGTTTACGACGTTCTTCCCTCCTCACTTGCACAGGCAGTCTCGGTACAAAGGGACGTACAAGGTGGTGGAGAGCATGGTGTTTATCAACGAACCGGAACTATCCTATATGAAGCTGGAAGATATCGAGAGGTTTAAGAGGTTGACGGGGCTGAGTGATCTCACGATGGACCGGGACTTAGCGAGAAGTTTCCAGCATGGGCAGAGAAACGACAGGGACGAAGAGAGGCAGGCTAGATTTTACGCTCTGGCAGAAGCTCGTGGACCACTTGGAGTGGATCAAGACGGTCGGCCACTCCCTCATGTTTTGCCGGATCCCAACTTGGAGTCTCGAAAGAAGAGAAAGAAAAGAGAGCAAGCAGAGGCGTCTCTGGCTGCTGTCACGGACTTGACACAAAGAGATGACAGGACGTCTGCGACGCAGTGGCCGCCAAGTTCTCAAATGCCTGCTGCGGCCATGCTGCTCATCCCGTCACTTCCGACCGTGGAGCAGTGGAACAGGATAGTGGACGCTGCGAGGCCGTCAATAGTTCTTACGGGGACTGCCGCGGCTAGACAGTCGGGGCCACTGGTCGGACTCGTGGATATCGGAGTCGCCGACGACGCTTATCTCTTCAGAGCTGCATTGCCGGGAGTCAAGAAAGACGAAGGTATGCTCGAGTCGAGAGCGAAAAGAGTTTGTTTGGATCTCTCTGACTGATATGACTTGTGAATCAGGCGACTTTAATTGCGAAGTGGAGTGTGATGGGAAGGTTACTATCAAAGGCATGACAACAACCGGGGAATCCAGGATTTTCAGGACGAATAGAATGTTTCACATGCAAACGCAGTACCTTTGTCCGCCAGGCCCGTTTAGTGTTTCTTTCAACCTTCCGGGACCCGTTGAGCCGAATCAGTTCACAGGCACGTTTGGATCCGATGGCGTGCTCGAAGGCATCGTGATGAAAGCGAGAGTCAGAAGCGGTGCTGCGTGCTTGACATTTGAACCTTGAGACTACTTTCGTCCCAAGGCAGCGAGACTTTCGTCGTCACATATTTTTTCAAGCCTGATAGGACAAGAGGTACATGGTTTTTCTGGTTTTCCGGGGTTACGTGAATTGTTGGTTTCCCTGTCAGATGTGGAATCTATAATGACTTCGGACGCGCTTTGGATCATGGTCTTTTGAGGTAAGACACGACAATCTTGTTGTACTCAGAAACTCTCTCGAACTGCGGTGCATGAGCTGTGTTCTTGATGACTGCAACCTCTGCTTGCTCCCCGAGATGCCTGCGAGAAAAAAAAAAAGTTTTAGAAAGATTAGAGATTTGAAGTCGAGTAACTCACTTCTTTAGCTTGTATGCGTATTCAACGTCGAAAACTTTGTCATGGTCTCCCCAGACGATGAGAACGTCCTGAATTTTCCAGTCAGCTCACTCGTTCTCTTTGGACAACGCAGGAAACTTACCTGGCTCAGCGTTGGCAACTCTGGGGAGTCGGCTTTGCCGAGAACAAGCCCCTGCAGCAGCTCAAGCTTCTCCTTGGTGTTCTTCTTGTACACAGCCTGAGAATTCACGCAAGAGGTTGTGTTTCTACTCTTTTCTCTGGATTCTTATACGTACCTCCAGATAATCCTTGAAGACAAAGTCGGGCATGATGCGTGGGAGTTTGTAGAAGCAGAGCTCAAACGCGGTCCTCGCATCTCTCCAGTTGCTAGGCATCAAAACATCGGCCACGCTGCGAACGCCACAGTACTCCACGAGCCGGCGATCCGAGGCAGGGTCCTTGTTGGGAGCCGAGTTTGAGAGAACGACTCTACGCACAACCTCGGGGAACATATGAGCCATCCTGTACGCGACGAAGCCACCGTAGCTGGTTCCAACAACGTCGAACTTGTTGACGCCGAATTTCTCCAGCAGCTCCACCACGCACTCGGCCTGGTAGAATTCCGATCGCTCCGCGCTGCTGCTGGTGGAGTCTCCGAAGAAGACGAGGTCCGGGATGTAGAGGTCGAAGGATTTGGAGAAAGAGGGGACCTGGAAGATCCAGGACAGACCATACAGGCCGAATGCGTGGAGCAGCACCAGGGGTGGATTCTTGCGGGTTTTCTTTGGAGCCCAGCAGCGGATAGTGGCTCCATTGTCGAGCTTGACGACTCTCGACTCGAGGCCATACCAGTGGAAGAAATTGGTAGCGCGAGCCATTGCAAAGGTCGCCGCGTTACATCCCAGGCAGCCACCCATCTTCTTCTTCAAGCAAAGCAAGGCTCACAGCTCGCAGCTCCTCGTTCTTCGTGGATCCACCGCTTCTTCGATTCGATCAAACCAACAACCATTCGGGCAAGAGCAGTGGAAGTAAAAGGAGAAAGAAGGCCCCCGCGAGTTTTATGGGACGAAAAGGAAACTTCTCGACGCGATTGATAGCGCTTTTCTCTCGGAGAGGAGGAGGAATCAGGAGGGGAAAATAGGGGGATGATCTCTTCCTGAAATTTCGTGAACTCCCCACGCCAAGAAGGTGAAGGAGCACAAGGATGATATGATAAAAGAGTGGTGCCTCAGCTCCTACGCATTGCGCCATAAAAGAAGAGACATGGGGTGGTCTTTTTGGCTACTCATTTTTTGGCAGCACTAAATGCCAGGCGGTAGTAAGTTGTGGCAGAGAGGGGGTCCATGTCAAAAAATCAAAGCTCCTCCACTTCTTGACTTCCCGCGCGCGCCAAATCTTTTACTTTTGAGATTTAAATCGGGTAGGAGGTCGCGATCTCGACTCGGCTGTAGAGCACAGTTTGCAAATATTCTCTTCCCTCGCTTTTTTCTTTAAATCTAAGGTTTAGGGTTGGTTTAGGGTTTCATTAGAAAATATTTCTCATTTGCTCTTTATTTGTATTTCAGCGAAGCAAGTGGTCCTTGGGGTAAGGGAGATCCGGAGTGTTTTAAGTACCATTCTGCAACGAAGCGGCGATAAAGGTGGGAAATTTTGTTTCTAAATTTTAGTTGAATCGTCTCGTTTTCGAATAAAGCAGGCTATGCGACGTCAAAATGCGATTGCTCAGCTCGAATGCATAGTCACTGTGCTAAACTAAGTTCCAAAGGCCCGGGGTGATTTTATTCTAATCTCTGTTTCTGTGTTGTCAGATTCTGAGGTCTTGCACTAGTTGTCTGCGAAGGTTTGGATCCGACTGAGGACATTCAGCCAGCCGAGAACGAGCAAAGGACCAGAGCAGAAGCTAACTGTTTTTACTTCTATGCAGCAGGCACGGCTGAAATAGAGTTTGCGATCGCCTTTGCCCTGTGAGTCCTTTTTTACTTCTTCTACCGTTTTCCAAGCTAGCTAACGAGTTTTGAATACCACTTCAAATGATGGACGAATCTATACATACGAAATTTAAGAGACTGTCAAAGAGTATTGAAGATGAAAACCACTTTTGGCTGTGATGAACATCAAATTTGTTACTTGCAACTGCCTTTGAGATACTCAAAAGTCTGGCTGGTCGGATTGTTCTTAGAGCGGCAAGGCAATGAACGCAGATCAGCACTGCGAAGACAGCGAATTAAAAGTGAAGTTTTTCTTTGTTTTCTGACCAAAGATCAGTTTTTCTCTGACGCTGTATGGCTTTCAGAAGCCACAGTATGTGATATTGTCCATGAAATGGAAGTAGCAGCCCACTGCCTGAGGTGTGCACCTCTGAATCATCTCGCAAGACCAGCACTCCAAGCGGAAGCCGCCTTGCTTGCAAGTTACATTGTAAAACGGCTGACAGCTCTGCGCGACAGTATCACGATGGCATACTCCTGCACAGTACGTAAGAATGTCATAAACTCTCGACCGAAAAAAAGAAGAAATGGACAAAGATCTCTTCACCAAATTGTGTTCTGTACAGCAGCTTGCGACCGCTCCGTCCCTTCTGATTTCATTTCCATCAGTTCCAAGTTCCCACACTCAAAAAGTACAATGCGAGCAGGAGCAGGATAGTACCTCTGAGTTCCCGGACGATCCCAGATCATACCACGGTTTACTTTTCGCCAAGAATGATCGCAAGCTCTTGATCCAGCGACCATTATCTTCCACAGCAAGAGAAGATGGTGGTGGTGGTGATGATGAAGAAAACGGGTGAAGCAGCAGCAATCCCAGGAGAAGCATTAAGAGCAAGAGCAGCAAAACTAGAAAGCGTGTCATGATCATCCTTCCTCCTCCCGCGACGAGAAGAATCATTACTTGAGCAGAGCGAGCTCACTCGAAACAGGCAGGCAGAGCTGTGAGAAGAAGAAGAGTGTAAGATTTTCTCCGGAAGACAAAGCCAAGATCACTCTAGCGAGGAGAATTTGGCAACGCTTTAAGTAGGGGATCGAGATGACCCGCGTGGAGTGTCCAGAAACTCCAGAGATGGAGCGATGAGGCCACCGGTTTAGTCCGGTTCTGCAAACTCTCTTTAAAGCGCGTGTGATAAGACAGAACTGACCAGTGACCGCCACCATTGTGAAGCTCGAGAAATACCTGTGCGTGTCCTGTGTCCTTCCTGTGCAAGGTTAACTTCACCCACATTTAAAGGTGGTGTGTGAGAACACTCAAAAAAAGGAAGAAAAAAACGAAGAAAGATGCCCTCCAAGCAAATGAGAGCAAGCAAGAAGCTAGAGCTATGCACGCTTCACAACACTAGCAAAATTTAGGGCTTCTAAATGTGATAGCGTTCATTGGCCTCGCTCAAGTGACCATAAGAATATCCAGTGCTCGAGGAAAGCTGGAAAGTTGGCGGACAATAGGATAAAAGCCCTAAACCCAGATATTAGGGCAACTCTCGCTCTTCATTCTTGGCACTCCGTGAGCCACGTAAAAAGCGATGTTGGAGGAGAGGCTGCCCTCTTTCTAGCCACATTCTCCATGGCTGCCAAGAGCGGCAGCGAATTGGACGCGCCACTGCTCGATCGCAGCTCCTCTCCTCCTCCCAGCAGTAATGGCGCGGCCGCGAGGAAGATTACGGCATGGATGCTGCGCGCGCTCATGTGGATCGTGTTCCTGGCGTGGATTTTGGTGCTTCTCGCGTTCCCCAAGATCAAGCTAGGGCCAGGGAGCTCTGGCACGGGTAAGATAGAGAGAGATCTAGAATGCATTCTTTGGTTTCTAAAATAATTTCTTTGCAATGCCGCAGGCATTGTGTTGCTACTATTTGCTGCTCCAGTTCTTTCGCTGGCGCTCTTGGCGACAATCTATTTGGAGATTAGAATCAAACCAGTCTCCACGACCAAGTAAGTTTTCGCAGCTGGTTTCTCTCGTAGACCATCTCTGGGTTATAATTTTCTAGGAAGAGCCAGCCAGCGATTTCTCTATGGACTTGTCCTTGTCTCGTCGATGGACTGCTGGGTGTAGTCTCTGCTGCCGAAGTTCTTCTTATCGTTGCTTTCGTTGGCTACCTGGTGTGGTGCTTGACGATTTACGTGATCAACGATAGTGATCTCGTCCAACGATTCATGAAATTTCCTGCCATCCGAGAGAAGTTCCTACCGTAAGCTACGAGTTTTTTATTTCTTTTTTCTGTACTAAAATAATCTTCTTCCAGATGGGAGCTGTGGACGTACGTCATTGGACTCCGGTTTGGATTTCTTGGTCTTTTCTGTCTGGGCTTCTTGCTCCTTCCGGTTGCGAGAGGCTCCCCGTTGCTTCGGCTGGTAGACATCCCTTTTGAGCACGCTGTGAAGTATCACGTCTGGCTCGGACACCTTACGATGGCCATATTTACCATTCACGGTCTTTGCTATGTCGTGGTTTGGACAGTTCAAGGTCGATTGGAAGAGGTAAGCTTTTCAAGTTTCTTTGCTGCGAGATTTTCTCCGTTTCCAGCTTCTAGCATGGCAAAGAATTGGAGTTGCGAACTTGCCAGGGGAGATATCTCTTGTGGCTGGGTTACTTCTCTGGATGACGTCTTTTGGCTACATCCGGCAGGCCTTCTTTGAGCTTTTCTTTTACACACACCAGCTCTACGTGGTGTTTTTCGTCTTCATGGCCTTCCACATTGGCGACTTGTCGTTCTGCATTTCCATGGCGGGTTTCTTTCTATTTATGCTCGACCGGTTTCTGAGATTCTGTCAGTCACGAAGGTCAGTAGATCTGTTAGTATCCAGGGTACTACCATGCGGTACCATTGAGGTTGCGCTCTCGAAACCTCAAGGTATAAACTCATTATATGTTCTTCCCTTTATTTGTTTATTTTTTGTTTCTGTGCAGATCTCAACTACAATGCTCTCAGCTTTATATTTCTGAGCTTTCCTAAAATCTCTTTTCTCCAGTGGCATCCCTTTAGCGTTTCATCTAGTCCATATGATGCACGAGACAACATGTCTTTCCTCATCAAACCTCTCGGTTCCTGGACTGACGAGTTGCAAAAGCTTATCAAGGAGTCTACGAACAAAAGAAATGCCTGCCCGGTGCTTGGTGTCGAAGGTCCATATGGACACGAGTCTGACTACTACCTCAAGTAAGTAATCTAGCTATCTAGCAAAATCATAACGGCTTGAATTTTTAGGTATGAAGCATTGGTCCTGGTAGCCGGCGGAATAGGAGTCTCACCTTTCATAGCAATCTTAAGAGATATTTTGCACCGTTACAACATGAAGCACGGCAATCTTCCGAAAGAGGTGACGCTTATATGGGCAGTAAAATACTCCAAGGAACTCGGTATCATCAATTTGGTCCAGCCGGAGTTTATTTTCCCCGACTATGCTTCAAGGCTCAAACTCACTATCCAGGCTTTTGTAACTAGAGAAATCCAGCCAGACATCGAGGAAGCTACGCCACTGCCAGAACATATCTTGAGCTTCGCAAAGAAACCAGACAGCAAACCAGTCTCCACTCTGGTTGGAACTTACAGCAACCTTTGGATGGGAGTCTACATCGCTGTCTCGACTGCCGGTTTTTTTCTCACTCAAACTATTATGGAGAAGTTTTTCCTTGGACCCATGACGGTGCCCACCGAGGGAGGTAGCAGTGGCGGCTCTGTCTCGTGGACAGTGAGAGCGGCAGCTCTCCTCTTAAGTATGACGTGCGGAGTCGTAGTATTTGGAGGCTTGGCCATCGCCTTGTGGAACTGGATCGAACGCTCTCGAAAGGGACGAACGTCCGGTTGCCAGGAAAGTATTATTGGAGCTACCGGTGCCGGGGACAAAGTGGGAGTGGCAGGCTGTCAGCAGCACAGTCTCGTTGGGCCGTGGAACACCGTCTATGGAAACCGGCCTGAGCTTAAAGGTACGCCCGTTTCAACCTGGTTTACTTGGTTGCACTGATTCTAGTCATGCCACTTCCAGAAATCTTTGCCGGTTTCGCGAAGAAGTGGTCGGGGATCAACGTGGGGGTTCTCGTGTGTGGGCCTTCCACTCTCCAGACAAGCGTTGCGGAAGAATGCAGAGCAAACAACCTTAAGTTTGGATCCGTGGCTTTCCATTACCATTCCGTAAGCTTTGATCTTTAGAGATATGATCAGTGAGCTTGAAAAAGCTCACTTGAATCATCAAAGAGCACTGGTGATCTTTACAGCTATGTATATATTTTGTAACTATGTTCTAGAGGAAAAACTATAAATGTGAAGTAAGTAGATCGTGAGTAAAATTTCAGTGTGTTTTAAGTTCTTCCAATGAGAAAAGTCAATGAACGTCAACGAAGACTCTCACTGACTCTACGCTTCCATACATCTCACGCCTGTATCGTTTATGAAAGACAGATAGCACAGCCCCTCCTCACACGACCAATGAACTTGATCTCCACCTCACTTCTGGCCACTTTCCTGACCATGACGTTGATATCTTGCATATTGCCATGAGTGCCACCAAAGCACCAACTGCATTCAAGAACCTGGGGATGTCTGGGTTGTCTAGCATGTGAAGCACCTTCCAGCCATCGCCCAAGTACTCGATGCACACTTCCAGCCACCTCCTGGGATTCGAGTCACTGGCCTCAGAAGCCAGGGTGCATATCCAGCATCGGCCCATACACGATGAACAGCTTTGCTGTAGTGTCCTTCTTGACCACCGTGTTGGCCTCACAAAGCAAGTAGACGAGCATGTCTCCTAGGAGTCGAGCTCCCGATATGGAGCGGATATGGTGTCCTGTGGGACTTGTTGAGCACTGTAGAACTCTCCCAGCATTGTCTTCATGGCTAGGAACAAACTTGCTAAAACCCATGTATGCAATGAAAACTAGTTCATCAACTGCTGCAGCAAAGCAAGATTAATAGCGTGTTGGTAGATCTATAAAAGCAATACAAGTGTTTATTTGGGATGAAATTAATATGGTTCATACACTTGCTTTTTAAATTATCTAATCATTACTTAAAAGACTTAAAACAGAATAATTCTTCATGCGGTGGCATTATTATTGTTATAAGTGGTGACTTCTGTAAAACATTACCAATTGTCCCACATAGTCACCAAGCATAAATTATTTTCACATCTGTAAGAATGAATAATCTATGGAATCTATTTAGAAAGTTTCAATTGCAAACAAATATGTGGCTTGGCCCAAGTTCCTAGACTAAGTAGAATGGCTGTTGAAAGTCAATGATGAAAATAATTTTACACAAAACTCTATTTTACCACTTGATTCTATCCTTTTTCCTTTAGAACTAATTAGAACTACCTCTATTATTGATTTTGTATTCCCATGCATCAAAGACATTTCAAATGTTCAAATTATAGCAAATAAAACCATTTTAACACATATTAATGATGATACATTTCCAATTAATAACAACATCATCTCTCAAATACCAAATCCACCTCAAATTTACACTAGTATTGACTCCATTGATGTTGAACATCTTGAAGATTTCCCAATTGAATTTCTAAGTTTTATTACTCCCTTTGGACTACCACTACACAAATTGATACTAAAAAATGGTTGTATAGTTATTCTTCTGAGAAACATGTCTGCAATAATTGGATTATGCAGACTGATGGTCAAAAGAACTTCACCTAAAGTTTTGGACTGTGAAATAATTATAGGTGAATGAATTTAAAGGTACTAAAACTTTTATCCCACACATTAACTTAACACCCTTTGATTCAGATGTTCAATTTCATATATCTCGAAAACAATTTCCTCTTTGTCTTGGATACTACTTGACAATTTCAAAATGCCAAGATTAAACATTTAATCGTATGGGCATCTACTTACCCCAGCCAGTCTTTACCCATGGGCAACTCTACGTTGCACTCTCAAGATACACATCACTA